TGTGTGTGTGTGTGTGTGTGTGTGTGTGTGTGTGTGTGTGTGTGTGTACAGTTCCAGCTCCAGATGTTTGACATCATCTGCAGCACATCCTGGGCCAGCAGAGATAAGTGTTGCGAGCTGCCGGCATTGGTAAGAAACTTAACACATGCATGTACTCTCTCACACATGAATGCTCACACACTTTAACACATGGTTTCACTGCCTCTCCTCTCTGAGGGTGCAGTAGGTTAGGGCTCTTCATATTACAGCCTTAGATGATTGGGGTGATAATTCTGGTTACGATCAAATTGCTTTATGATGAATCTAGAATTAAAGCCAAATTACTTGTAATCTCTATGAATGGCTATTAGCTTTGGCAATGAAATGCCTCCACTAAGGGTGCCTGTGGTCAGGTGTGTAATTTAATTTATGTGATAGAAATGCACCTAGTGACCAATGTTGTCTTTCTCGCACATATATCGATATAAAATACACACACATCTATAATAGCAAGAATGATCAATGAACACCACAGGCATCAAACATACCCACACAACATACAGATGCACTGAGTCACCGCTTAATTAGATATCCCTCTGCAATCTGATGGAATCCATTAAAGCAATATTTATTCAGAAACATTTTGATTCAATGTTGTGGTAGTTGCTGTAGTTTGTGGTGGTACTGGATTGCATTACTGACTTTCAAGTTTTTTTGCGCACCCCACATGCACAAGGGGCCCAGTATATTAGAAACACCGCCAGTATAAAACAATCCCATAAACTCTGTGTAATTATTCCAACACCTGCAATTTCCTAAAGTGTCGTTTTTTCATAAAATATTTTATCATTAGTCGAGGGAACCAAGCAAACCTTGATTTGTTTTTGTACTACAAGTACAAGTAGCTCAGACAGTTAGGAAGTCAAGAAACCTGATCCTGAGACAAACCAAGTGCATCGTACACTCAATGTATTAATGTGTGTTTTCAGAGAGTTGAGGAGCAGTGCCCCTCCATGCCTCATGCCTGTACCTGCTCCCAGGACAGCAAAGGACCTCCAGGACCTTCCGGACCCCCTGTAAGTGCCCATTCATTCTTTTATTCTGTCATTTATTGTTTCATTTAATAACTTATTCAGACACTTTTGCTCAATTTAGTATAATGACCATCTTATTTTATGGTGTGGAAGTGCTCTATCTCTTTATATCTATACTGTTATTCATGATATAGATACCTAAATGCATTAAAACAACACATTTTCATTCAGAGAATGAATGTATCAGTTATTCACTTTAGAGACTCTCATTAAAAATAATGTATTTAATCCAGAAATGGTTGCACGGTCAATAGTGGACAGAAAAAGACCAGTGACCAATCTCTTCCTGACCAACAGTGTCCACCATCACAAAAGCACATCATATCAAAAAGTCCAAGTACATGCGTCAGTGTATACACAATGTATGTATTATCCATACACATTGAGTCTCTTGGCCACTGATTTTTTAATGTGTTTTAATAAAAAACTGTGAAATGTAAAATTACAAATCTTTTGGTGTTTTCATTGGAGTGGCAGTATGTTAGAGAGAGCTTGGGGAGAAGCTTTATTCCTCTCACGCAGTAGCAGGTAAAACCTGATAGAGGCTGAGAGATGAGAGCAAGTAAATGAGCTCATTTACAGCCCCAGACTTTTGCCTATATTCTCCTTTTCTCTCTTTTTTTTTTTCTTTCTATCTCCCATGCTACATTTTCCATTCCCTTCTCTCTTCTTTTTTTCCCGTCTCTATATCTCTTTCGGTTTCTCTCATTTTCACTCTCTTTGTCTCTGTCTCCACCCTTGGGTAACGAAGGCGTGGGAGGGGTGTGGATCAACACCAGTATAGTTTGAGAAAGTAATTATATGGTGATTCCATTTATCACAGCCGATTACAATCGCCCCCAGTTGTCATCCCTGTCCGACGAGCCACATCCACTTACTCTTATATAGGGTTATGGCCACAGGCCGCAGCCCTCCCTTCTGCTTTTCTACCTCTTTTCATTTTTTGTCTCTGTTCCTCGTTGATGTTTCACTGTCTTTACACCAGAAACATACAGTATAGTACAAGCAATTATGTCAGCTAAGCCTTGAAACAATTGAATCTCATCTTATCTGTAAACTTATCAGGAAAAAAACTGTATTTAAGACTTTAAAAAGTAAAGACTTTTTTTCATATTTCTCAACTCTATGTATACTGAGCATTGACTTGTGTCGCCTCGATATATTTCTCCTTTTCTCTCTTTCACTCTCTGTCCAAAGCAGATCAATAGCTATTCTGTAAAGCTTTCATCTCTTTATTGTCTTTCTGTTTCTTCTTTTCTCCGTTTTCTCTTCTACCTTCACTTCATCCACACGCCTGAGGCTCTTTTTTTTCTTTCTCTTTTTTATTATCACAATAAGCCTCTTTCTTTGCGTCTCTCTGTCTGTTTCTCTCGCTGGCATTGAATGGACTTCTTGAATCACATTTTAACTGCAGCATATCGGCGGAGATGAACGGTATAATAGTGAAATCATAGGCACTTTTGTGCTAAAACTGCACTCTATAATCAGTGGGGTTTTGAGGTAGGATGAAAAGGCAGTACCATTCCCCTTATTAGCACAATATAATGGTTGTTACCACAATAAATGTATTTTATCCCCTGTGGAACACAAGCCTCATACAGAGAGCGAAACTTTCAAAATCCTAACAGACTGTGAAAACAGACTTTTAGTATCATTTGTTTTTGTGCTGCTGAAACTTTGCTCACTCTGATGAACCAATGAGTGTGAAGAAAGCCAAATAAATACCTGGATCCATTGGGTTACCTGATGCAATATTTAAACGCACATAATACTGCCATGAAAAGGCAACTGGATGGCGAATGAGCTGGAAAGCAAAGAATTATTTAAAAAAATGTTAAGGAACTATACTTGTTGCCATCTGATCATAGAGATTATTGCTGCTAAAAACATTCCTATGATCTACACAGATGAGACTGTATTTTGGCAATCTGAATTATGGCTACAGCAGTAATCTGCTCTAAATGTATTATTATCATCATCCAAAACACAGTTTGTGTAATTGTTGTGTTTGTGTTCACTGTCAGAGGCATGTCTTTTCCTGTCTTGCACAGCAGCAGACCTCTTCAGTTTTGTTAATCTTTGAGTCATGTTTGAAATAATATTGATTGCCCCAACTGAATTGCAGTCTTTGCGGTCTGATTTGGCACAGACTCGGCTCAATACCGAACATCACTCAGCAATCAATCTGACATTAAGGAAAGCAAGACTCGCGTTGCCTGCCATCTCCGTTTGTTAAGATTGAATTGTGCCCATGCTGTTCGAGATCCTAGTGTTGTTTGAAAAATGGAAATTTGTCGTTGGCATCAAATTGCTCATTTAAACGATAATAGCTGTGTATTCTTTTCTTTATCACCATTAAAGGCCCCATGAAAAACCCAAACACGATTAGTCGTATTGCTGCTGTTGGAAGCTGATTTCAGTTTTCTCTGCTGGTTTGCCCGACCTCAAACAAGTCACAGGCTCAGATTGTTTGCAAAAATGCATAAGAAACAACTTGCAGAGACAAATTGTAGAATTGACGATCATTCATTTTAAATATTTTCCCTTGTAACATGAATTTACAATAGCACAATCATTGCATTCCAATCAAAAGTACTGTTGTTCTATTCCTTACCTAAAGTTTAATTGTGTCTCTTTGCTGCCAAAGGGAGAATTTAAAAGATTTTTTTAGCCTTTTTAAAGCCAACCTTATGTAGTCTCCAGAGGTGTTGGTTACTGTCCTCCGTCCTCTCCATATTGACTGGTAAGCAATCCTTTTCCAGCACCGCTTCACGGTTGATGGATTCTGATGGGGAATAAGCTAATGACTCCTTAATGGTAAAGCAAACCATCAAACTTAAGTCTTGGGTCAACAGTTTGGTGGGTTTTACCACATCTGTGTGTCTCCTCTCATACTCCTCGCCCTGCTTGTAAACATGCCTCCTGTCCCCCTCTAGCTAAATACTATAGCAACTACCAGGTCACCCCCTCATTCCCAGGGGAGGTCTATTTACGCAAACACAGGAAGAGGAAGTATCCCACGTGAATCAATGATTAGCAGATGTGCGTTTGTCCCCAGATAAACCTTTTGGCTACTGGGGTCAGCCCGAGGTTTACAGCTCCAGGCTGACTTACAGATGCAGCATGATAAAGTGCAGAGCCCAGGGGGGCAGTTTACTGCACAGATCAGTGTTAGCCTCTGTCTGTCAAAGTCACAATACATTCATATCAAAGACCTGTGCAGTTTCACTTGTATTAGATCTTTTAACATTAACTCCAATTTTCATGTTTAAAAGGGAGTCTGAGGGATACACATTTTTGTAAAAGCATGTCTTAGCCATTACACTCTATCTAGGTGCACAAGTTGCAAACACTGACTATGTCTTGTTTTTACAGTGTGTGTTTGGCCTGTGTTTCAGGGTGGTCCAGGCATAAGGGGAGCCAGAGGAGACCGAGGAGAGCCAGGAGTGACGGTTAGTAAAATGCACTTAGTTTCAGCGACCATTTATACTTCTGCAAAACCTTCAGCACATACTTGTTCTCAAACCATGTCATGCTCCTAACCGGGGAAGAAGAAGCACCCCAATACTAACAGGCTGGTCGGACTGGATTTCTCAAACTGGCTAGACATTGGAGAACCTCATGATTTCACATTTTATAAATTCAATCAGTTTTAACTTTACGTGAGGCAAAAAAGGTGAGGTCAGTTTGAAACTGGAAGCGAATACACTTCGCAAGGTTCCTCAATGGAAATAATGGGGAGCCCACAAGACTAGCCACGACACTCGCTTATTATTTGACTCATAATCTAAAGATGCTGGTCCAAACCTCTACCTTCAGGGACAGAACAGCCCCCATCCCGATTAGACAATAAAAGGAAAAAAAGTTTAGGGTGAGTAAGTAATGCCCCCGACTCACAAACAAAGGGTCTTTTAAACAGCGGCTCAGCTCCCTTGGGCTGAAAATTTTTGGAAAAGCATATATCAGTTTTCTTGGCTTCCTGATCTTCCTTTTGGCCTCAGATTTGAGGCTCTTATCACCACTGTTACTGTCCTGTGCTTAATAGACACAGTTCCAGCAAATCCTATCTTGAACTATTAAAGAATGATTTACTGTAAAGTTTGCATCTGCTACCATTTTGCTATGGCAATCTGTTCCAAACTCTTACAAACCATCCAGCTGGGGCAGTCAGTACAAGGCCTGATGCTGTTGGACATTTCTCAATACCAGTGGCCAATTCCCATGTTTGTAATTTAATCTGAGATTATAGAAGATATGTTTTGAAGCCCCTTTCTTTTTTGAAAGAAGCAGCAGGGGTATTGCCACTACTGCCTAGACACGCAGGGCTGTCAATCAACAAAATTAACTTGTTATCTCAACCAGATGTCGCACTTTGACGCCGTTGAATGACAGTGTATCGAGTGCACTACATGAAGTGGCCCACCCAGAACATAAAGCTTAGCACATCCCAAGACTGAAACAAAGACAAAATCAATCTAATGCAAGTCTTTATATAGCCCATGTGCTATATGTGATGGGTGTAAATCTGTTTTGGGTGAGATGTGGTTTCTGTCCTGCTGGCACACACATACTCTACAGTACATGCATACATAATAATACACGCCTGCCAGATCACACTTGCCTTAGCTCAGCAGTATTTGTACCTCTGCAGCTACAGCCAAGTTTATTTGAATAGTCGGATTATTCTGCTAGATGAGACCAGATCCTCCACGAATTCATCCTTATTTACTCATTCTCACTAATCCATCTGGATGCATTACTTCTTACAGTATAAGCGCTGATTAATGGGAAAATAACGTGCAGTTATTAAAATAAACCTTATTTATCTGTCTGCAGCTCATACACATGGATCACACTGGCACAACCTTATAGTAGATGGATAGACAAGTGTCTAAATCTATTTCCTGTTATAGATCTCATTATGGAAGCAGCCAATGGTAGCAAAAGCCCCCCAAGCATGTAGTGATGATGTTGACATTTTATGTTTTAAGTAGGTGTAGACTTTGAGGAAATGGGCACACATCCATTACCCAATCTTTTCATGTACATCAAATGTTTGATTTGTTATTTTTTACCTTAAATCTAACTTAAATGTTGTTTTAAGTGCTACTTTAGTTCCACATTGATGTTACAGAAGAGTTTGTACAGTGGTTCAAATGCATTTCATGAATATGTGATATGAATGAGCTGATGAGGCGTGGAGGAGTTCACATCACATGATGCTCATTTGGAAGGGGAGCTTGCTCGGTGGTCATGGAATTAAAGATGTTCGCATTTCTATTTTTCCTGAGCACTTAATGGATTTGTCATCCATCTTGCTTTAAAGTTGACAACAAAAAGTTGAAATCCATTGTGTTGTTTTCATAGGGACCCCAAGGGTCAGTAGGAGAGATTGGCCCTTCTGGACCTTCAGGACCACCTGGTCCTCAGGGACCCAGTGGTCTCTCTATTCAGGGACCCCCGGTAAGACATTTGTTGTGTGTATTTGTATGTGCATATTAAAAATGTAAAAAAGTATAACACCACAACTTGGACAGTTACTTGATACTTTTAACATTACAATACTGTAAAGATAATTTAGCTATCACCCTCTCAAAACAAAAAAATCTGGCTCTAATAATGATTATACACTTTATCGGTATAGTACCGCCCTGCGATAGTAGATAGATGTCCAGGGTGTCGTTTCATTTTTTATACAAAAACTCTCGAGTTTATTCTCTACCAATCGGTGCCGAGGTCTCTGAGTCTATAAATACACCAAAATTTGGAAAATATGGAAAAACAAACACCCTCTCAATGGTGCTGTGGAGGTTAACAAACACAACATATCTTATTATTATCTTATTACGTCTTATCATCTCAAATCTAATGGCCTACCACTGATGTCAACATTTAACTTAACGCACTTAAATTACACAGTAAACCTCTTTTAAACTCACTCTATAGAAAACATAGATTGCATAAAATCAAGTTTAATATGACACTAGAGTACATAGAATGCATTCATATTAAATAGTTAAAAGATATTTAACATTTTGTGAAACGTTATTCTTTTTCAATGCAATATGTAAAAGTGTGATGAAGAAAGAAATGATACCGGTAAAGAATAAAACATGTTATTGCCAATGATCCCTGCTGCAATAAATTATGATGGAAAAATAGTCACGAATGTGTGCCGTTTGCCATTTCACTCCCACCTGTCTCCAGTAAAATGTGTGCAATTAGACACAGGGTTAGTATTGAGCTTTTAACCATTTGCCACCATAAACTGACAAATGTTGATGTACACCTCGAATAGCCTTCCAGACATTTGAAGGATCTTGTCCAAAGCACGTTGAAGCTGTTCTGGGGACTTGTGGTGGCCCATCATCTTATTAAGATAACTGATATTGGTTTTTCCAGTCCTTTGGTAGCTATCGCTGTGATTAGTCCGGCTGAGATGTAATGACTTTGTTTGTTTTACAGGGTGCTGCTGGGGAAAAGGGAGAGAGAGGAGAGATTGGTTCAGCCGGACAAATGGTGAGACATTTAACAAAAAAGTACATTATTGTAAGATTCAGAGGTGAAGTGTGTGTTTGGGCTTGTTGAAATAATTCCCAACATCACAAAGTAAAGCCCGGAGGGGCAACTCTTTTTCAATTTCTCCTTCTGTTTTTGTCTTGACTAAAGGAGCTAAGCAGTATTGGGTCATCACAAACCCAGTAGTGTTTATTTGTGTGTGTGTGTGTGTGTGTGTGTGTGTGTGTGTGTGTGTGTGTGTGTGTGTGTGTGTGTGTGTGTGTGTGTGTGTGTGTGTGTGAGAGAGAGCGCGCGCGCGTATTTATCTTTATTGTTCTCCTCTGTGTGGAGAATACAAATGAGTCATGTATCCATTATCACTGAGGTGTCATCCAGGCTCACATAAATAATAATAGTAATACATTTTATTTGTATAGCGCTTTAAAGGGTACTCAAAGACACTTTACATGGTAAAAACAATGAGACTTGTTGCCCTATAAAGGCATTTCTGTAACTTTTTAAATATATATATATTAGACCAGCCTAACTTACAGGTATTTGTTAACTCGTTGTAAGAGTGGTACTCTGTTAATTATTTAGCCAAGTAATTGTTGCTCCAAAGGCTTTTTTTCATTTGTAATCATTTTTGAGGTGAACAAACCTTAAGCGTAGAAATATTAAAGCATGCAAGTGCAACATACTGTTTTCACGGAAATTCTGCATTTCTATGGCAAAATATTTTTATATATAATGAAAAAGATGCCACAAATATGTTGTGCTGCAATTTGGCTTTTTTGAAATTACACGCATAAAAACCTAGAAATGAATACACAGCATCCACAACACTTCTGGTTATTGTTGTTTTCGTCAAAATAAAGCGCCACGAAAAAGGTATGTCTTCATCTTAATCCAAATTTAATGACATGCAGCTATAATATTGTACAGCATAATGGCTGTATTAACTAACAGTTTGAATTTGTTGTGCAGTTTTGTGAACGAGTTAAAGACCAGGAAAGTTAGAGAGAGATGAGGGGGATATGAAGGTTCACTGTGTGTATATGTTGCGTGCGAGTGTGTGCGAAACTGTTTTGTTGCTGACTCACATATGCACGTCGACACAGATACAGAGCAGCCTAATGGAATCATCGAGATGGGAATAATCATTAACAGCATCTCCATTATTGGGCAGTGAACCAATCGGAGGCAACACTGAACTAATTTAATGGAGTTCTACTGGGAGCCCTGAACATCACCAAGGACAGACTCAATGTTCAACTAACCGACCAGAAAAACTTACATTTTTCAACGAAGACTCCGTCATTAATTTGTCCGATTATTCTGCTGGATGTTTTTTTTTATTCCTGTGCCTCTGCCTCATACTTTTAATGGCCCTGCACACCCTCACTGCTGTTAGTTATTCTGCTTCATTAGAAACCTGCTCGGGTTGAAGTCGGGTAGAGCTCAATGTTCCAATATACATTTTTGCTAAGTTGTCTAACCTTAACAGGTGCAACAAGAGGGTACACACACACACGAAAATAAATGTAATGGAGCTAATTGGGTGAAATCATTTGTGAGAGTGTACCATGGGAGTTTTGGGGTACTGTGCTACTTCAATCCCTCTAGACTGGTGAGTTAATTAAACGCATCATTAAGGTAACACAATAAATTGTCATGATGTAAATGATAAGTGTCACAAACCGGGTCGAACGGCCATGACAAAAAAGGGAGACGCATTCAATGAACAGTTCATTCATTATTTATTAAGTTTAAAGTAACATAAAAGACAAACAAACAGTGACATGTGAAGTCACTCATTTCAGCAGTGTAAGTGAGTGGGTGCATGTAAAGTGTATATGCAGTGTTTAGTGTAAAAACAAACCATAACCGAAACCAAAGTGGGTGTCTCAGGAAGGAGCTAGAGCCAACTGAAGATCCAGAGGGGTTTTGTACTGAGTGCTCTGGCACACAGGCCCAGTGTTGCAAATGGCCTCAGGTGCTTCCACACCCACCTGCAAGGAAGGCAGCCAAACGAACAGGCAGAGAGGGTCCGCCCCCCCCCCCCCCCAATAAGACGGGGGTCCCACAGGACCACGACCAAGCTGGCTTTTATGAATGAGCACGTACTCAGCAAATCCCGCAGCCTGGTTGGCAGTTGTAACCTTACGCTCCGTAAGATATGTGGCAACACGACTGGGCAGAGAGTTCTTAAACTGTTCCAAGACGACCAGATTACACAAACTTCCAAAATCATTAGCATCAGAAGACATACACCAACGATTGAAATTATTTATCAGCTCCCTCGCAAACTCCATATGAGACTGGTTGAACCTCCCCCCCCCAAACATCCTAAAACGCTGGCGATACGCTTCAGGGACCAACTCGTATGCCTTCAGTACAGCATCCTTAACTGATTTATAAGTTAGATCATTATCTAAAGCTGCATATGCCTCCTGGGCTTTTCCTGACAACACACTGCAATAGCAAGGTTTGCTCAGAGTCTGACCAATTTCTTGCCTGTGCACCCCGCTCAAACAGTGTAAAAAACACATCCGGATTCTTCTCGTTAAACTTAGGCAAGAGATGCAAATTACTGACAATATCACGAGAACGCGATGAACCATTTCCCGCGTGAAAAACATCTCCAGAAAGCTTACCATCTCTGACTAATGCGATCTTTTCCTGTTCTATTTTGTACCGGAACCGCTCAATTTCCATTTGTTTCTCCTTCTCATGAGAAAACTGCAACAAAAGCAATTATTTTTGCTGCTCAAAGGTAAAGGTTGCCTGATGGAACTGAAAGTGCCGGTGTTGCTATTGACTGACTCAGTCCCTCTTGTTTAGCAACCAGCACCCCTCTTTCAACCAACTGCTTTTTAACCATAGCCTTTACATTTTCTTTAAGTCGTTTATCACCAACACCACTTAAATCAATATACTCTTGCGCAATCTTAAAGAGCTGATCTCTACTGCAACGATCCAGAAACTCCTCACCTGGAGCATCAACAAAGTCCTGTACCCCCGCCATACTAGACCAGGACAAAGGCCACCACAAAACCAGACTGTTCTAGGTCAACTAGTGCCATAAAAGAGACAATGATATGTCGCCCAACTAATGTGGTAGTCCCGCTACCTAAACTGCCTATACCAAACTAATCTACCTCACTGAACCCTAGTCTTCATGCAGATTAGCGGGAGGCTTTTTAAACACTTAAACCAGTAACCCGGTTAAGCCCCCAGCAAGCTGGTTACTCACCTGACGGCTCTGGATGTGTCCCCGAGACAACTGCTCTGACCGCACACCACACAAAAACAACAAACCAAAAAAAAAAAAACAAACGCAGCCACACGGACCACGTTGCTTCACCTATCCAGGGACACTCCACAAAAGTCAACGAACACACTAGAGGACCATGTACTCACTGCTGCCAAAAAAAATGCATCTCCCAAACGCAGAACCAAATATCAGCCTCAAACCAATCAATTTGGACGGACGAGCCCCCACTTATCACAAACCGGGCTGAACGGCCATGACAAAAAAAGGGAGACGCATTCAATGAACAGTTGATTATTTATTAAGTTTAAAGTAATATAAAAGACAAACAAACTAACAGTGACATGTGAAGTCACTCATTTCAGCAGTGTAAGTGAGTGGTTGCGTGTAAAGTGTATATGCAGTGTTGTATAGTGTAAAAACAAACCAAAGCCAAAGTGGGTGTCTCGGGAAGGAGCTAGAGCCAACTGAAGATCCAGAGGGGTTTTGTACTGAGTGCTGTGGCACACAGGGCCAGTGTTGCAAATGGCCTCAGGTGCTTCCACTCTGCCTGACGACCCTCTGCCACACCCACCTCCAACACCTGCAAGGAAGGCAGCCAAACGAACAGGCAGAGAGGGTCGTCACAACAGCATAATTCAGCTTGCTATTATTGGGCTTACTCAGGCAACACTTTTTGTTAATTATAGTGATATATTATAGTATGCTGGGCTGATGGGGGATATATCTCTCATAAGGCTGTCCTTAACTTTTCACAGCACAAGTGGAATAAGCCTTGGGTAGCACAATGCTGCCTGTAAGATCATTTTCCTAATTCTTCTCAATCAATTTTACCATCTCGGCTTTTTATCTCATTATCACCACATTTTTAACATCAAAATATCCTTCAGAGTTTGAATCAAGTGTACCGATATTGTGCCACTAAGCTGACTGCTCTCTTATAATTCTTGCACAGTAGATGTCACAAGACATTTATTTTGCTGAATGTTCTCTCGGTGATTTCTTGTTCTTGTTTGAAAGTGGAGAATGTGGGAGCCAACATCCCTCGAAGCTCTACCGGCTCCATCACAGTCGCACTAGATCCTGATGCAGCACTATTTGGTGCAGATCTGTCCTGCAAATACTTTCGCTTTGAGAAGTGAGCAGGGACCCTTTTCACACACAGTATTTATCTAGGTGCATCAGTTAGTGTTGTCCATTGTTGTGTTGTCTGAGGACCACAATAAATTGAATAAGATGGTGGATTCCATTATGGCTATCAGCCCAGATTCACTGGAGGATGTCGCAGAGCATAGGTGCTAACCAGTCTGACTTAGGGCTCAAGGTTTTCTTGTAATGGATTTTTCAACATCCATTTAGATTATTAGGAAATTTAACATGTGCTCATTTGGTTGGCAATGTTCATGTCAAAGGTTACCACCTACACTCATAGTTAAAAGGTCCTGATCTTTTCATTTGCTGTTTCATGTCTTTATATGCCCTCTGATGAACCGACAACCGTTTTTTTTTTCATGCCTTCTACTTCCACTGCATCCTGGAATAAGCTTCTACAACACTGATAGGGATAACAAATTTCAGAGAACGAGCGGATAAACTCATTTTAAACTCATCACAATCAGATTTAGCTGCAGTCAAGCTCTTCATGTGGAGCTGACAGTGCACAAGTTTTGATTTTGAGAGACAGCTCCTACATGGAGCACTATTATTTTCTTTCCACACCAGAGCACAACTTGTTACAGTCGCTGCTTCCATCAGCCGATCACGGGTCATGTCAAATTGATACATCGATCTGCCTTTAGAGCACACTGCAGACACACACACACAGTTACACACACACACACACACACACACACACACACACACACACACACACATTTCATTTCATACTGTACTTTAGGATGGTGATCATCCTGTGCAGGGTATCTTTATTAATGTTTTAGAGTTGTGGCTTTGTACTGTAGTGATCCTGATTCATTACTTAAATTATTTAGGAAATTTGTGTTGAAATGGTCTTTATTATAAGACAATATGTTACAAAGCTAAATAAAAGGTACTGTATTGGACAGATGTCTATTTCAGCACTGATGCAGATTAACAAACTGTTTTGACAGAGGCAGCTGTAAAGACAGTTTGTTGTTATGCTGATTAGGCTGATAGTCATGTGCCTGGTGGTTTTAGTTTGTTCTCTCTGGGTTTTTATCCATTTTTAATTACTGTTCTTTCGACTGGCTCAATTTCTTTTGTTGACAGACTTAAGTCGCTGATTGGAAGTCACATTTATAGCTTCTGACTTTTTACCACACCTGTTTAATTTTCACAGATTTTATAAGAAAGGAATATGCAATAACCATTTTCATGACGAGAGAACAACTAGTCTCTGAACCGGCTCACAGAGAACACTTCCTGATGCAGCACTATCTAGTTCTCTCTCTCCGCCTGCATAGTCCTATTAATAAAAGCTGGCAGTGCTGCCCCGTGCCGCACTATGTTTCCGAGTAATGTGTTTTGTCAGAGAGAGGAATATGAGTGTGTGTGTGTGTGTGTGTGTGTGTGTGTGTGTGTGCGTGTGTCTCAGTGGGGGAATTGTAGCTTCCAGGGCCCTGTTGTAATATACGAGGGACCACTGAGAATATCAGAACTCTAAAACATCAATTACCTCTCTCACTCTTTCTTTTCCTTTCCCTCTTTCTCCCTGTCTTCAGCTCTCTCTCTCTCTCTTTCTCTCTCTCTCTCTCGCTGCAGAATGTACAATGTAACCTTGTCATCAACGTCCTCCACCTCTGTTTCAATTTGACAGTGAAAAATGCAGCTGCAATGAATAGCAAAGAATGTGTGTTTGTCCATCTCCGTCATCTCACTCATTTTCATTCTGTTCATCAGTGTGTGTGTGTGTGTGTGTGTGTGTGTGTGTGTGTGTGTGTGTGTGTGTGTGTGTGTGTGTGTGTGATCATTTTAGTTTTGTCTTAGGGGAATATAGATTGTGTGGTAATAATTTAAACTTGGTCACTCCTAGGTCTTTCGCAGATGTATGCAGTTACCCCTCTTAGCCCCCCATTTTACACTTAATCTGTGTGTGTGCACGTGTGTGTGTGTTTGCAAAGAGGAAATGCATTAGTAAATACATCAGACAGCCAGCAGTAGACTGGGTAGTGGAGTAACCTTAGGTTCTAGCTGGGTTAGCTTAGCTTTCATCTCTGCTCTCCTACCTCTCCTCCCTGGGGCAGTTTGGTGGCGTTTGGTCCGACGGGTCAGTCTGGTTGTTCGGCTGTGGGTGGTGATTGTGTCAAAGACTAAATTACTCTAGTTTTCTATAGTACTGATACATTTTAGTTAATAGACTAAGACTAAATCTAAATTTGTTGAAAAAAAATTACAAACCAGTGAGTGAGCAGCACCGTACTGTCTCTAAAAAGAGTGGTGACTGTAATATTGACACTGTCATTGAGATCAAGATGTCTCAGAAAAGAAAAAATCTGGAGATGAAAACTGAAGATATATGAGCTACTAGCTAATACTATTTAACTTGCTCATCTTTTAGATCAGATTCACAAACTACATGTTTATTGGCAGAGATGTACAGTGCGTGTGTGTGTGTGTGTGTGTGTGTGTGTGTGTGTGTGTGTGTGTGTGTGTGTGTGTGTGTGTGCCTTTAATCCTGGCATGCCAATTGCACTTTATTTTAACCTTGCCATTTAGCAGTACATAAACACTTTTATTATAAATGTTTGTTAATGCATTCATCAACAGTTGTAACTCCTTATGAGTCCTTATGAGTTATTGATAACATAATGTATCTGCAATAATGAATGAAATATGATTACATACATCAACAAATCTTGCACTGTTTTACTTTATAAAGCAGTTATCAACTGTTAATAATAATTCTAAGAATATATATAATAAGACTTCTTAGTAGTTCATATTTATTACAACTTATCTTTATCTATTTATACACAAGTTAAGGATGCTTCAAGGCCAGGAGAAGTTATAGTTGAAAATTACATTAATACATATTAATAAAAACGACATTATAGCGTGGTATACTGTAAATATTGATTGATTGTTTGTGTACTGTCTGTAAATGCTCAGTAGTGGGTTGTAGGTAGATTTCTATAAACTTCAAAATTCAAATTGTTGCACTGGCTTACTTCCCTGCTCTGTGTATGTGTGTTAAAGTCTGTAGATACATGGGTGAAAGCGGCGGAGAGACATTATTGCAGATGTCTTGGGAGAACGTACATCATCCGACATCTAAACAACGGCACATCATTAGTCATAACTGGCCTGTCCTCTGCGACCCCGGCCTGTAATTTGTAGGACCTTTTAGAGTGTTAACTGTTTTGTTTCATGAGCTCTCCTCCACTTATACCGAAGTGCAGTGATAAATCACCTCAACACTTAATCCATGACTGTATTTTGGAATTGGCTGTGTGCATTGACCTGCAGAGAGGTGGATGAAGGAGAAATGGGGCAGGAGATGGAGCAGCAGGGTGGCCTGATGATATAGAGATCGTCCTGTACCCAGAGGGTTAGAGGCCGGTTATTCCACAAATCACATTTATGACCACTGCTGTCAAAGCATCGTTGAGCAAGACGGCACACCCTTATCTGTTTTGACCGTTGGTTGTGTAGATGCATTTAAAGTCATTCCTTTTTATGCTGTATGGAATTTGGCAGATACCTTGTAAAAATGACGAAATGACTATTCTGATCAAAGGAAAAGTGTACATTTATTATTCATTTATCACAAAAACTTCACATTTGCAGTTTAAAGCTACTTTTCTTAGTTTTATATTGTCACTAAATGTCCAGTGTCCCACAGGCAGTGTTGTGAAAGTGATTCAAACCTGCTCGTTTGTGTTTTGATTAGGGTGTTCCTGGAAGCTCGGGCTCCCCTGGTAGAGACGGCCCCCCAGGAGCAAGGGTAAGACAATACACTGACATCACCTCTGTTGGTTACCGATACACAGTGTGGTTCTTGGAAATGTACAATATAGTACAGTGATGCATAGATCTACTCTACTGCAGTAATTACTTATATTGTCTACATCTCTATATACTATATAGCGTTGTAGATAATATGTATTTTTATTTAGTTTTGAGTTAAATGTCAATACAAAAGAAACACAAGATAATTGGTTTGTATGATGATAAAGCCATGTCTTTCTGCTAATACCCCATCATTACTAGTTGAAGGGGGTGCTCTAAGATATGAAAAAAAGGACATTTGGATATGGTTTTGAGAAAAGGCATGTAGGCATAGCAATACATTACAACTTAGAGTTTTCTATTCTTTCCATTCAGAACTTTCGAAAAACAAAAAAGAGCAATCACAAAGAGATAAAAAAGTGTTTTTTAACATTGTTTTTCAAGTTGTGTTTGTACCTGCTGTACGGTGGTACTTTTCCAGCTGTGTACAGTATCTAAATGTTGAACGTCTCTTCATAGAACCATACAAGTCATACCCCAGTTGAAGAAAACAAAGTAAAAATATAGTAACTGCGGTTGACAGAGGAATCAGGCCTTATAATACCCACCTGGGCTGTAAATACCAAAACAGTAACGCAGCCAGAGCATAATGTGTCGGCAAGCAGAAAGAAGAGGTTTTATCCAAACACATAATATGATAACAGAAAAGTTTTGTCTTGGCTTCGTTCCTGGCGAGGTGAAAGACTCTACACATAATCCATCAGCTGTCTCTTTGTTGGCTGACAGGGGTCCACACAGTCATCCCCTCGGTGGTAGTTTTCAGAACATCGTTTTCAGGCATGTCTTGTGGTTTCCTTCAGGACAATTGTCTGTTAACTGGGGTTTCTTTTCCTGATGCCAGATAGATTTGGAGTTCATGAACTTTCAGCAAGAAAAGCATTAAAGGACCAGTGTTCAGGATTTAGGTTGATATATTTGCAGAAATGTAAAATGTTATTCTTAACTATGCATGTTGCAAAGCCGTAATTCTACAGTTGCCCAAAACAGACAAACCAAGCACCGGCTCTAGAGAGCTGTGAACGTGTTTACATTACCTGAAGGCCATTGTACTTTTCCGACATGCCTGTGAAACTGCAGTAATATTAGCCTCCGAGTGAAAAACCGTGGTTCTGCCAACCGCCGTCTGAGTTTAGTCGCTCCTAAAGAAGGGTGGACGAAGGTCTTGAAAGAAACCATGGCGTTACCTCGGTTTTGCGCTCAGCTGCTCATGTTACCATAGTCTTGGAAAGGGAAGGGGTATTCAGTTGGTTGCAATCTGCAACCTTACTGCTAGATGACAATCATACACACTGGACCTTTAACTCACAATCTGTTTTTGGTTTGCCACTAACAACCATAAAAGTTACATTGATGTGAGAGATTTCTGAAGATTTGATTACTAGGTTACCCGACTATAGCTTGTAGACATATGGAGCAAGGTTTTGTCTGTACACATCACGTGTGAAGCATTGCAGTTTTGATGATAAGTAATGATATCTGAATATTACCATATTTTACAAACAAATGCATTATTATCAAAGTGTGTGTCTCCTTAATGTATAGTTCCTGTTATGGATACTAGAGATCTTTAAAGAATACTGCATTGGATTTACTTGATCAAATCAAGTGGTTAGTGAGCCCATTTTCAAGTTACAACGTATAAGGATTTGAAGGAAAGAATATTTATCTAGAATATTATTATATAAATATTCACAGCTTGATTCTTTTATGGTACGATTAACAAAGACCAAAGAGTCCTCAATTTCTAAGTCCTACACTGAACAGAGAAAACACGGCAAAACACCCACACTCACAGAATACAGTACATGTAATCGTGAAATTACTAATCAGGGAGCAATTTTGGCTGCTTTATATTTGGAGATAAACTCCCTTTGTAGCGCTGATTATGGCAGGGTTCCCACATCCATATTTCTTAAAAATGCTACATATCTATTTGTGATTGTTGAGACTTCAAGTGGTGGGTATGTTTGTAATACCACAGAGAGATAATTATGATTTTGTTTCCATAGGACATTTCAAATCAGTATTTTTATTGTTGCCGCATAACTGCAGCATCACAATCTGATGCTTCCAGCAGCATGCTCAGGCTGAATTCTCTCTAAATGTTTTTTTCAGTGGATGCATTGAAAGCAGTAGAGAAGGGGACGCAGTGAATACTGATAACAATCAATTCACAAGAGGTCATCAACGCAGCAGCCATTGCTGTTATCACTATTCTTTTGACAGCGATATAGAAAGTACTGAAGAGCTTTTGAAAAAGAATTAATTCACAATGCTTGTGCTTCCTAGTCTGCATCATCCAATGTGTACAAAGCAAAACGGCGAAAGCAGATAGCCCTTCATTGACTAAAACTGACCAGCATCGTACTAGTCCACCGGGCATAAACACTGCACGAAACAGTTTGTAAGGTGTATAAAAGCCAAAAGAAGTCTGGCAAAGACTTTGCTGCAGCAGCCAGTTCATTTGGAACAACAGTAACTGTCTCCTGGGTACTTTATTTGTCCATATCACAGTGAAATGGAAAACGGAAAGCTATAAATCTTTAGGCCCCCCCAAGATACATGCTCATAAAAAAGTGCCGACACTCCTGTCATAACTCCCAACTTTATTATTTAAGATATACTCGCCAAAATTGTGCTTGTGCGTCTAAGTTTACCTAAGACGGCTTTGCAAAGAAATAGAATAATCTTGTTAACACAGACAGAACCTGCCCTTTGTTGGTGGGTTTTCAGTATGTACATAAAAATCTGTATCGGTAGCTTTCCTGTACACCATAAACCTGTTGATGCTTGGAATATTACAGAAATTATACATTTGCTTGAACCTGGCTTCCTGTGAGAGAAGGCTGGAGGCTGAATTTCTTATATGAATATTAGAAAAAGAAAAAGTGGAATGTTTGGATTATGATATAGCCAGTAATGAAAATGTGCACAGTTTAACACCAGGCTGACTCTCATCCCAATGTATCATGTAATGTTTCTTTGCTTCACAGTGGACAATTTTATAACCTTTTTTGTTTTGAAATTATGACTATTTTTATTCCAGATGTGCCTCTGCTCAATTTAAAAGTGATTCAAAGTAGTTGAAGAGACACTAAGAGACTTGAATATTGGGAGGAGCTGAGGGCCAGTGTCCATGTTGAAAGGGCATCAGCCTCAATGTGTGACCACAAAGTAACTTTCGACATCTGAGCTAAAATGAAAGGATTAACTGAACCTAAGGTTAAGCTGTTTTCCAGGACAATCTGAAAATGTGTTTTCCTAACACTAAATTTGTTCAGTTTAAATGGCCTATAAATATCGAGGTAGGTCAAAGCCATCATGTTATTATATATCATGTTATTATATGTGATACCTTAACAAAACCAGACTAAAGACAGAATTGTCATACAGTTGGTATGAATGTGCTTCTAAAGTTAAAGCTCCAGTTTCATATCCACGTGTTCTCCTCAAACCACAGCATCATGGGGAAGACATTAAATGGTGGAGATGGTTTTAAACACCTGGAGGAAACTATAATACAAACTGTGAATAACTCAACAGTCTTATTGTGAAAAAGCCAACAGTCAGGAAGAATGCCCCCTGTGTTCTCTACAAACTGTCTAAAAGCAAAACCAAATATAAATGTTTGATTGGAGGCATTTTTTGGCAGACCTGGAGTTTGGACATCAGACGATGCAACAGTAGCAGATGTAGCAGCTGCTGAGTTTGGTGGCCATCAGTTGTCTGGATGTTAATTGTATTAGAAAATAACAGTCTTGCTGTAGGTTTAGTCTGGAGACTCGCAGGCCATTTAGAAAGGGCTTGTGCAAAACAAAGTTCAACCTACATTCATGAAAGTGCAGCTAACGTTTTGATATACTAAGCGTTTTTTGATCTGCGTCTCACAGGGTCTGCCGGGTAATAATGGACCACAGGGAAGACGAGGGCCTACTGGACCTGTTGTAAGTGTCTATTTTCTGATTATTCTCAGTATTCTTTTGTCTATCAGATCACCCTAATACATGGGCCCGACTGAAACCTTTGCTTCCTGTCACCTTCCTTCTTCTCCGTCTCTTTCATGTACTGCCTGTCTTTCTCTCAGGGAGCCCCAGGAGGACCAGGAGCTCTAGGACCTGCTGGGTCAGCAGGGCTTCAAGGAGATCAAGGACTTCCTGTGAGTGAAAACTATTGTTTTATTTTGTTAAGAATGATGTGAAAAAAAACCTCCGACACTGAAATTTCTTCTGGGCTCAGGAACTCTCTTGAAATGCCTGTGAAAAGTCCACTTGATGGAGTTTGACAGAACATGTTTTTCTCCCACCATGTCTCCCTAAATTTACAGGAGAACAATAATATCACAGGTGAATCACAAAGTTACAGATTTGTTTAAATATGAATAACATTGTGGTTCGATTCCAATGCAAGGAGCGCACACAGATTGTTTATTCTTCTCCTATTTGTCCGTTTTTTCTATCTTGACTGGAAAGAGATTTTTGGACACAGTCCTCATTATAACACGTGTCATTTAGTCAGAAATTAGTATTACCAATAAAACGTATTTCTTTAGAATATCAAAGAGACGAATCCTATTGAATAATAATTAATCTTTTGAAAATCAAAATATGAAGGTTCACCTTTGATTCTAAATGTACAGTAAGTCAGTTTGTTAAGACAGACAAAATAATGTGTCGGAGAAGGATGCAGTGGAGAAGATGTTGGGTTCCAAACTTTGTGTAATGCCGACAGAAACAGATGATACTGTGATGCTGGTGACAGCTAATCTAGTCTTGGGTCAGCTCTGCAGGCCAGAAGCAAAGTTTGGCTCAGAGAGGCAGAGCTATAAATCACGTACAGAAACTCTCGCTCCCTTGACACACACACACACACACACGCACACACAAAAAATGGGAGGGATCACATCTGCCTCATCTCTAAGATGTAGAAGACACAGACACCCCCTATGAATGTATGAACATGCAACAAACAAACACGGATACAAAAAAGAAAATCAGATCTCGCTTCCCTGAGAAATAATCTCTTAAACATCTTAAACTTTTAGTTTCAAAATTCACCTCAACATTAAATTGCTGATTCGTTCCTCTTTCTGCCCCCTGCAACCCTTCTCCAGGTTTCTGCTGCAAGATTATATTTTGCTCTGAAACAAATGTTTCCTATCTGAAGTAGCAGCCATGAAAATCAGCAGGGAACTTTTTTCATTTTTTTTCATCGTGATGTAACTGACCTTAAGACGTGGAAATCATTCCAAGTAGTTTTGTTGAGGTGGACACAAAAGTGCCACACATCTGTCCTACTGCTATGACCAATTCACTAAAGGACAGCGGATTTTTTATTTTTTTTATAGTGCTTGACTTGGTTGCAATCCAACTCATGTTTGCCATTTACAACAAAAACAACAACAATCTTCTTGGGATTGTTTTGTCAGTCCATACTGAGGAGCTGTGCAAGAGGAAAATCTTCTTAAAATTACTTCCCTCTGCGGATGAATTGTAAAACATTATAAGTGAAAAAACATTGACTCTGTACTTTGGACAGATTCTGCATATACAGGGCACAATAGGAAGATAGTTTTGATAAAATAATTAAAGAAATCAGATTTGTACGAGAGATATTCCTGTTTTTTTCACACTCGGATCCAAACGTTGGCTCCACACAGTTTGATGTGGGTTTCCCAAGTCACAGGGATAAGACAGTAGACATTTACTGTATATGTCCAGGAAGACTCAGGATATTCAGACAGACACACAGAGGAGGTCCAGGAGAACATTTTTAGTGTGGAGACCTGCACTCCAATTCAACGGCTGTGTCAAATGTTGGCAAAGGCTTTCCATCATTTTTTTATTCAAAAGCTGTAACAACATCAAACTGATATGTATCATATCTGCACATAGTTCTGTGGCCAGGAAATAGTTGTCTTTTATTTGCCTCCGGATCACAATGCGTTACACTGTGATATGCATTGACTGGCTTTATGTGCTTGGCAGGTTTTTGTGTGCGTGTGTGTTGTGATCAGATATGCATCTGTGTGTTTTACAGTGTTGGCAGTAGCAGAAAAGAATCTCATCCAAGCCAAAGAATTGCACTCTGTTTGTGGGTTAGGGCACGCATGCTTTGGGGCTTATGTGTATGTTGTCTTTCGGACACAAAGAACCTCGACACAAATTTAAATGCATTTAGTCATACCAGCTGTTAGATCAGAGAAGAAAAAAGTGTGTGCGTGTGTTTGTGTGAGATGATAAGGCGTAGAGAGATGGAGAGTAATGAGCTGGGGACTTTAAAAGGAGGGAGAGAGACTATTTCTGAGTACACATTACAGTCATTTAGCAGACGCTTTTATCCAAAGCGACTTACAATTCAGATTCTATCACATTTCTACACTGTAGGCACAACTACGGGAGCAATTTTGGGGATAAGTGTCTTGCTCAAGGACACGTCGACATGCGACTAGCAGAGCCAGAGCCGGGGATCGAACCGCCGACCATCTGATTGAAGGACGGCCCTCTCCCAGTCAAATGTTAATTCTCCTCCTCTGCTTCTGTGTTCCAGGGTCCTGGTGGTACCAAAGGTGATAAGGGAGAAAGAGTAAGTCATTCCACTTACACACTTCAACCACAGTTTAGAGCAAATCATTTTTTTACTGCTCCATTATACAGTGGAAATATTGTTACTTTGCTGAAGTAAAACTCAGACTATTACCAAATGATGCTCCAGTACACATTCCCTGTTAATAGTTTGTCTTTTGCACCAAAATTCACTTGATTTCTCTTTTTCAGTCCCTCAACCTCGTTTAGAGCAAACCAAATTAAATCAGTGTTCATAGTTCAAATTTGCAGCTGAGCTGGGTCTGTATTTCTGCTGACACAGCAGCCAGGCCATCACCGCCGAGGGCTTTAGAGACATGCAACTTGAATTGAACCTGTAATTCCTGTTTCTGCCCCATTTTATACAAATGCAACTTTACACCACCTTTCATTAGACCCTCCTCTTGCCTCCTAAAAGCCCAAGGAAAGCTCCTCCAGAGCCACAGAAGACGTTATTCAACAGTTTTCATGGGTTGTGTAGTGGTTCTTGTGACAAGTAAACTGAACTTTGAGGTTAGGATTAAAAAACTATCAGTTACAACTTAAGTCCAACAGTTGGAAAACCTTTTCAAGTCATTAACTCAATACCATCTCTAGTTTCAGGTCACTAGAATAAACTTTGAATATTAAGTAAGGCTCTTCATACAACAAGTTAAGTCTCCAATAAACTGACTCATGTCAGATTTCACAGCCACTTATTCTAGCTATCAACTCAAATAAAAACAAAGTACTTAAATACTTATACTGTATACCTTGCTCTCATAGGTGAGCTATCTGTTTTGGCCAATATCAATATAAGGGGCATCAGAATGTGGAAGTTACAAACATTAAAACACTCATCCACCCATGTATTAACCACTGGTCTGAGTGTTTCTGTAACTGTGGTTGCTCAAATTGAAAAGTGATATCAATCTATTGTGTGGTTGTATAATATCAGACCGTGAGAGCTCCATATTTGTTCTTCAGGGTGATGTGCAAACCCAAGCAGCTGTGCGTGCCATCGCACGACAAGTGTGTGAGCAGCTCATCCAGAGTGAGTAATCGGGGATATTTACACACTAACACCAGCATGTTATGAAGTACAAATTCCCTGCTGAAAATGTTTCGTCTGACCTCTACTGGCTTCATTTCTCACCTGTGGTAAAACGTCATGATAAATAAACAACTGGAAACAATTCTTAAAGCGTCAAAAAGCGAATTCTAAATCATTTCGAATCACTCTCCTCCTCTACCTCCTGCAGGCCACTTGTCTCGCTATAACTCCATACTGAACCAGATCCCCGTCCAGTCAGCAGTGTCAGTCCGAACAGTACCCGGACCACCCGGAGAGCCAGGTAGGAGAGGCCTCCCAGGAGCTCAGGGAGAGCAAGGGCCATCTGGTAGGCCAGGCTTCCCCGGCACCAGCGGCCAGAACGGACGACCGGGAGAGAGAGGTGAGAGAGGAAGATATTGAAGGATGTGTCTATGAGTAAAGACAGTTATTTACAGGATGCATAACACATGTCGCGAGAAAGACGGGCAGAGGAAAAGTATACATGGTAATTTCCATACGTACAGTATATCTCTTATTCTCTCAGAACTATACAGACCGATTACACGCCATCATCAGTCCTTCACTGTTTGGGTTGTGTCTAGACACTCTGACTGCATGCTTTTGTTTATACAAGCATTAGAAAGAGTGAGGAAACATTGAAGTGTTTATTAGACTGCTCTTGCTGCAGTGAGCAGGTTATAGTCTGATCTGAACTCATAATAGTCGTATGGTTTACGAAAACACTGTCTATATGGACACTTTGGCTTCTCTTTTATTGAATGTTTCATGTCTTTTGGGGTATAACAGCATTTATTACAGAGCTGACAGGAAATGAGGGAAGCCATTACTGTCTAAGAGGCTGTAAAGCTTGAGTGAAGACAACATAATGATTCCATTGGTACCAACCATGTCATGTTAGCTTGTCGGGATGGGGGCTGAAAGTTTGGCTACATTTGGGCAAGAGAAAACTCACAGGGGTCCCTTGACCTTTCCCATCAATGAAAATGGATTCAATTTAAAGTCATGCCCACTTTATGCTAATAACATGCTGTTTCTGAATATGCTGTACCATCCTGTATTTGAATATTTCTGCATACTGGGGGTCCATAAACAGTCTTGGAATTGCATAAATTGGGTGTGACTGGAAAGCTTAGACTCTTTTGGATCCAATGAGCCCAACTTTATTCATGTGTGATGACGTTAGTCCCCATAGCAGCCATTTCACATAGTGAGATCATTTTTTAAACTTGACATCCCCAAATAAAATGACCCATTGTGACCTCTAAGATAATCACAGCCTCATTAAACTTTACTACCTCAAACTAGAGACCTAGGGCATTCAGAGAATGTATGGCTGTCAAGTGTTGATTGTAAAAAGAACCGTTATTTTTTCCTATAGGTTTATTGACAATAAGAGCGTTTCTGAGCAGTTTCCAGAACAGAAGTGCGAGTCAACCAATCTGCCAAAATCCAAATCACAGCATGGATTTTTCTATTGTGTACCTAAAGGTCTTGGCATCTTGATGTGGTATTTTAGCGGAATTTTTGATTATTTTTATAATTTCCCAAGTTTTTTATTTAAATTTAGCACCAAATCTATGTAACAAACAGTATTAACCCAACAGGTGGTGCAGCAACGTATGCAACATAAAGAGCATGGGATCATATTCTTCCATCATAATGTTTGTGGTCTGGCCTGCTCTCTTACTCACAGTCAGGGTCAGAGCTCTGCAAGGTTCAGTCCAGGCCAGAAGGCAGTAACTCCGATATCCATGACGTAATTCATAAAAACAGCTTTTATGAGGCTCAGTCTTCATCACTAAAACATGCAACCCACACTAAAAACCCTCATACGGAATGAGCCTGCGCACACGGAGGGTTAGGAAAGCTGAGAGTAGCTGTCAGGAAATGTCCAGCATGGTTACCTCCCCTTTAGAAGTTCAGACCTTTGATTCTACCCAATAACATTTACGATCTGCAGCCACCACGCACACTGGTTTCAGTTCAGTTTATAAAAAAATAGAGTCAGCCAAATATTATAAAAGACGTATAGCAGGCTTAAGAAAAGTAGACATGTTATTATTAAGTCAGATAATTCCAGAATGAGGAAGAAAGCTGTGATCAGGCTGAACGGATGAAACAATGTATAGTCCCCATACAATATTGTCCTGAATATAGAGAGACTATATGGGTCAGTTAGTGGCCATTGTAGAGAAAATATTATGAGACGAGGCCGCCAGTGTAGAGAATATTTTTTATTTGCGGTAATGTAAAATGTTTTATCCTGAGCCCCACTGTGCTTACTTCCTCTTTACCGATGCAGTTGATTAAGGTGGTCATAAAAGCAGCATTAAATGAAATCTGCAGATCATCAGCTTTGTATGGTTCTCTAATATCAGAGTGCATCCATCCGGTCTATAACAGCTGCACCGCCGTCCGTCTAATTTTATTAGACGGACCTTCCACGCATAATTTGTCCGGCACATTTCTCACGAAATTTGAAATGTAATACTGATGTTGGGATAGAAAGTGGTGAAATACTTTTCCTAATTTAAATAAACAAGTTTTTTCTTCAGTGGATGTGTGAAGTAAACATACCAACAACACCCTACTATTGATGCCAAAATGCAGACGCATTAACAGCAAAATTAACAAAAAGGTTGGGGATCATTGCTTTAATCTTTAGAAATGCGTTATATGTTATAACTATTATGATCTATAACTATAGCTGTTAGCTAAATGTAGTGGAGTAGAAAGTTTGTAATGTGTATTTTTTTGATACACGTTAAACTCTGTGTGTGTTTGCAGGTCTTTTGGGAGAGAAGGGAGAGAGAGGGAGTCCAGGAGTTGGAAGTCAGGGGCCTCGAGGACAATCCGGACCTCCAGGTAAGATACTGACAAACCTACACACAGCTCTGAGCATGCTCAATAAGCTAAACCAACTGAATCCACTCTTTCTAGTCTTTTTGCTCAAATATCATTTGGAGACGCTGTAGCTGCTTCAAAATTAGATCATTCAACTTTATTCTGAACATTTCTTTGTGGTGTTTCCCGACTGCGACCAAGCGGGGAGCTGCCATATAGGAATGTTTTCCATTGTGTTCAAATGTTTCAAATATTGAAACAATATAATTGCACAGATACTCGATGTGTTTCAGATCTGCGTTACTCTCTGTTAAATCGCTGTCTGAGAAAAGCAAGCAGACGTTTTGAAGCGTGAATATATAATGTGCTGTATTGATTTCCCTGTTTAAAGTTTGGGGTTTGTATTATGGAAATATCTCCGGGATGGGATTTACTGTTTACTGTTGTGCGATCAATACTCACAGAACAAGCTCACAAAACTACCCGGAAACTTTTCTATTATCAGATAACTTCAATATATGAAAAAGGAAATCTTTTCTGAGAGAAATAGGGCAAAGCTCTCCGTCTCTTCCCTGTGCTTTTCTGAAATATTTGTGGGACGACAATTTTAGCTCTTGGCAAATGAAACCCCCCTAAAAATATTGATTTCATATTTCAGCTAACTGCTGAAGTGAGTCCTGATGGAGCACTTTCTCTTGTGTAAACAGAAGCCTCTGGCTAAAAACTGTGTTATTCCCGCTTCTGCCCTCAGGACATTAACTATTATCTCCCTCATCCAGAAATGACAATCATGTCCTTTCTGCCATGTTGTCACAGCAGCAGAGAGAGGGATTTAGAGGAGATTGAAGAGGTGATCGTACAGTGACAGGATGTAGCCTGGCACATTTTCTGTTTATTTTCTTTCCCTCTCTTCTTTAAGCCCTCTCACCAGGTGTCACACTGGCGGAGTTGCTTTAACACAAACTTTTCCTCCATCCTCAGGCCTGCCAGGTGAAGGACGGATAGGCAGCCAGGGGCCCCCTGGTCGGCCTGGTAATCCGGGGACACCGGGGAGGTCAGGGAATCCAGGTGCCACAGGACCAGCCGGCCCGCCAGGATACTGTGACCAGAACTCCTGTCAGGGGTACAACGTCGGAGGTAAACACTTTATTTTAACCCCCTTTATTTAGCATTCATAAGCAGTAAACATCTATTGAATAAATTGATTATAAAACACTGTAATATAGTCGTGATATGACGACATTTTGTTTGTTATATCGCAGTACTTTCAACAATTATAACTTCTCCTATGAGCACGCCTTCAGTATAATGTAGAGGGCATCGCCATATAATAATGATTGGTCCTGATTACGATCAGAGCCATTACATAAAAAGTCTAGTAACCACTGCTGTAGAAAAATGAACATAAAAGCACACATGTACACAGTAGGTCAGGTTTCTGCAAACTAAAATAACATTTTGATTGGAATATTTTCCCAAAAGCAGTCAAAACACAAAATATGCAAAAAAACCTTTGTTTAGACTTTAGCAGTGCCGATATGTTCTTTTGCAACTGAGCATTAACTTTAATCTTTTGCTACTATAAAACACTGAAATATGGTTTTCACAGTGACAGTAGGCTGTGAGATATTTATTGGTCTCATAAAGCTCTCAAAGAGTTGGAGAATGATCTAGCTTTTATGGTTGTTCCACTGTGAAGTTTATACATTCATGTCCACACTTATGGATTAAGAAATGAACTGTCACTGTGGATTAAGAAATTAACTGTGTCACTGTGTATATAAATCAATTCCAGTCAAATGTGACTCTTGCCGATTATTCTCAACCGTGGTTAACGGATTATTCTCAACCGTGCAATGGTTAAATGTGGCCTCCCTGCCTACTTTAAAGAAAAATAGAGTATGTGTAGTACTATTGTTCCTTTCACAGCAGCTAGATTTTCAAGGGATAGTTCAGTTTACTTGTATTTACCCAAACCCATTAAAAAATAATGTATACAGTTTAAAGCTGTGGGTACAATGCTGTTAGCCTCTCATATCTCAATAATATTTGTTGACTTATAAAACACTATTCTATACACCTCGTCTTTTTTCCATCATAAAAAGTCAAAGTTTAGTATGTTGACAAACGTAATAGTAGTCATTGTTTAGTATGTGAAAAAGTCACAATATATGATGTTGAAAAAATGTCATAAAACGTCATATGTTGAAATAAATTCTTGGTATAGTATGTCGAAAAAACAGTCAAGTCGAATTATAGTACAGTATAGTATGTTGAAAAAAGTCATAATACAGTATGTTGAAAAAGAACAGCTTGTCTCAAAAAAACATCATAAAAAGTCATAGTATAGTATGTAGAAAAAAGGCCATAGTATAAAGTGTCAAAAAATAGTATATACTGTATATAGTATAGCATGTTGCAAAAAGTCATAGTATAGTGTGACCAAAACGTAATAAAAAGCTATCAAATATTATGTTGAAAGTCATACGTCACAAAACAGCTCGTGGAAAAGTCGTTGTATGGTATGACTATAAAAAAATGTTTGAAAAAAGTAATTAAAACAAGTCTTAGTATAGAAAAAATCATAACAAATGGTATAGTATGCAATCAAAAACGCTATAAATAGCCACAGCCATGTATATCATTTGCGTGTAATTAAAGCTGTTCTAGTACTGGTTGGTTGATATAAAAGTAACTGTTGATTATTATTATATCTCCTACATGTCAGAGGTCTAATTCCTAAAATACAACTCAATTTAACTTAATATTTTAGTCTAGCTGTATACATGCAATTAATTACCTTCAAATGAGTATTCATGGAGTAATATGAGGTAAAACACTGCAGTTATGGTGTAAAACTGCAAAAAATGGCTGAACTCAGTGTTTGATTCAGTTTTACTCACAAGGGGTGTTATTTGCAGGCATACTCTGCACTCTCTGTTTTGTACTACTGAATTCTGTGTTGGAAATCTTTATTTACACTTTCTCAAGTACAGAAAGAGAAATATAGATTTGACACATTTTCCTTCTTTCCAAAAGTTTTATTTGAATGTCTTGATATTTATTCTAGCTAAATGTTTTATAAGAACCTCTCAGGGTGTGTGTATTTTCTTCCTCCAAAAGAGAGGAAGAGATTCAAACACTCATTTTTCTACCTCCAAAACCGCAACCTAACAGCTGTGGATGTACTGTCACTGCGGATTCAGAGGTTTAACTCTTTGGTGTTGTTGGGTTTTCTTCCTGATATGAGGTGTAAAATCTTCTCTCTGTCTCTCTTTGTTCTCCTGTGTTCCCCTCCCTCTGTCCCTTTCTCTTCCTGACTGAAGATCAACAGGACTATGGGAATGATTACTGAGGAACATTCTTCAACCGTCCTCTCCTCACCTCCATCCACTCCTCGCTCTGTGCCCTTTACATACGACTAAAAACTGAGAAAATTGATAAATTATTCCTTCAAAGCCTTCATATTTCTTGGAATGGATAATTACTCCTGACCCCGGTGTTTAACCTCTAATCCCTGCGGCAGCGGTTAATACATTTTGTTTCTCCAGAGACCTCTTTCCAACCAACACTTAATTTTTGCAGAATCTTTTGTAAAAGTATCTGGATTTTTTAAGGCACTTAATCTAACAAACACATCTGTGCATTTATCCATTTAAAGTTATAAGCAATTTTAGTGATTTTAGTCGACTATGTTCGCTCATATTTTGGTGTGCTGCACATTTTTAGAATGTATTATTCACACCAGATTTTCACTCTTTATGCACACAATACTCCGTGATTCCTTATCATGAATAGAAATTAGATTAATTTCCACCATCAGTTAACGTTCTTGATATAATTGAAACGTTAATCTGGCTTCTTCGTCATTTGACGGTCTCTGAGACAAAAATAGATTAGCTTTTCTTCCCACACGACCAAACAAAACCCCATAACGCTGCTGCGATGATCACCCCCACTGATCTCAGTGCCATCTGTCAACAAATACTAGTGTACACAATGGTTTGCTGCTGCAGCCTCTGCTTCAAGCTCAAATCGCTCCGAAGCTAATCTCATCTTTCAAAACCTGATGGATCAGCTAAATAGTGATGAATTGCTTTGATGCTGATTGGGTGCATTCATTACTGAAAAAAACCGCTCTATCTGTACATCTCATTTACTGGAAACTGGGCAAAGGTTTACTCCTAATGTGACCCAGATGTGATTGTTTTTTTGGGGCAATATGGGGTAGAAACCAGATTTTTCTTAAATTTCATTAATCCACTTCCCCATTAACCAAAACTTTTGGAGTCAAATATGCCTGTGCAACTTCTATTCGACTTGTTTTGTAACATTTCAATAGTGCAGTGCCTCGTTATTGCTGTTAAGTAACAGTGGTGGCATTCAAGGTTATTGTTGTCCCAATGTCAGCCTTCCAACTTTCCTCCATGTTTCCCGTGGTGGTGGTTTTATGTTCACTACGGTGATCCAGAAACATTCACTCAAACTGACTCTAAATATTCCCACCACCCCAGTCCAACCCCTGCCTCAGGGCGGCTACCAGCCCTACAATCAGCCGTACAACCCTGCTGCAGTTGCTTACAACAACCAAGGAGGCGAAGAGGAGGAGGAAGAGCAGGACCCTTATTACCGTGGTTACCCCCAACAGCCTTCACAACTGGCTCATGGCCACCAGGGTTACCACTCGAGCCCTACCCACTCTGAGAACACGGAGGTGAGGTCGCCGGGCATCGCCAGGAGGTTTTCACGTAACGCAGTCGTGTGAATGACGAGAGAGGACTTTAGAGGAAGGATGGACTCACCTAAAGTGCTTGAGCCCCGCACGGCACAACATACACACTGATATTCATACATGGAAACAAATCAGACACTGACATGCACGCATACACTGTCCCCCATCTGAAACTGTGTATCCAGTGGTTTTCTCCACCTGGTGAAACAATGTAAATAGGTCTGTGGACTCTTGTACAATATCTCTGTAAATGGGGGGTCTAAAAAGTGCCTGATCTATGTTGGCATCGTCCAGCTGTAATGTAAAGGTAAGACCTGTTTTTTTTTTTCCATCTCACAGCTGATTTCAGGACTAAACCCTTCTCTTTATGTAAAGCTGCATGTCTCCTTTGAGCCAAACATTGAGTGTGTAACTGGACACACGCATCTTGTTTTGGGTGTATGTTACATGCTAGATTATTGTACAATTCAAATGGAGGACATCGAGCTGGCAACATTTGTACAGGCTGCTTTTTCTAATGATGAATCACGATTCCATGCCGTCTTTATTTTAGTGTGTAAAGGAATATTGAAATGTTTTTGAAGTGGTTTTCTTCGTATAGTATTGTTTGCTTCTTACTATTACTGGAGTTAATCCCCCAAACTTTACTGTAGAAGCATCCGATTTCTGTCAAGTTTAATATTACCTTAACACTGTGGAACACAATCAAATGTATGACAATTTTATTCAGAGAAAATCTATCTACCATCATACTTTGTGCTGCAATATTTCCTTCAGTTGGTACTGGTACAAAGATGGACCAGGTCTGTTCTGGGTTTTAATACTTGTGTTGTTTTTGTCTTGTTGCCCCCGTTTGTTTTCTTTATTGTTCTTATGCAAAGTTGGGCCTGCTCACTGTGGAAGCTGTTTGCTCACTGGTTGACCTCTGACCTCTTGCTGGAATGAGACTTGCATCCAATTGTTTTTTAAAAACAGTCAGCTGCCTCTCGGTGAAAACCATAAAGTGAGAACTTTACCCCTCCTGCACCGCATTCTGGAAAAACAAGCACTAAAGTAACTAAAAGCTAAGCTGTGAACTGGCCCTGGTCTATTTTAGATTGAAACTGTCAAGCTTGAACAGATTTAATAAGGAATGTGTCTCGCCACAACGCCCCATAGTACAATATGAACTTATTTATTTTAAATTTTGTTTGCTTTTATAACCAATAAATCTGTATTGAGACTATACAATGTGTTTTAGGTCATTTGTTTAACTTGTACTGCATTAAAAGGTTTACAACACTTATGTAAAAACACAACTTGACAAGAGCAGGTTTATTAAATTGTTTATTAGCCTATTTTACAACTTACATAAACAGAATTCATTTATACTTTCACAACTCTGGACATTTTTAACACACTGACTAGACAAAAAGCTCAGGATATCCTGACCAAACTGATGGCCCGAATAGTATCACTTTGATTTGTAGGTTCACAGTGAAACCAAAGCAGGATCAGATCTACCAAATGCCATTTTTTTTTTTTTTTTTTTTTTTTAAATGGGCCAGATCTGATCTTTTCATGGTTGTATAATCAGAAGAAAACCCACAGAATCTGATTTTCTCTGATCAGAACTCTCAAGCTGTGTCTGACTATTTCAGGTCTCCTGTCAATTGTAATAGGACTGACAGAGAGGTGAGGTATGTATAGAGGAGCACAGAGTTTGAGTCGACGATGCTGGCATCTAGGTTATGACTCGTGCTTTCCTATCCAGTCCGGCTTTAATGCCAGTTTTTGATTTTTAAAAGAAAGCCAGTGCTGTTTCCTGGATTTGGTTTTTGTAACGTTCCATCTGAACAGAGAAAATGTGTTTTGTGTATTTTAAAACAGATAACATCTCAATGCCAATCTCACAAAGGACCTCTGATTTAAAGTATCAGACCTAGAAATATAATCGAGGATGACCCAAAGTTTTGGTCATGTCGGGAGCCTTGACTTCATTTCATCTTGTAGTCTTCAGGTCTGGGGAGAAAAACAACACATTAGTATGGGGAAGAAAAAAAACAATTACAAGGAAAAACATGGAGAGAAAGTGACAGATGAGAAACCACGCGGATCTTATCGGTTTTTTTGTCTTTTCAAAATGAGACCAGACACAGCATCCTGTGTTTTTTCTCCTTTCATTTTGAGCACAGATTGCAGCAGACAGATATTATCAGGACATGCTGTATTGGTTTTGATACAAAGCAGAAAAATGTTATCAATTGTAAAAGCTCTGCTATCAACTTCAGCAGTATGTTTATGTTGTGGATTTTCTGTCTCCGAGCACTGTGTGTGTGTGTGTATAATAATCTTTTTCCTCTGCTCCAAGGTTTTCTGAGAGAATATTAAGTATGCGTTTAATAAAAGGTAACAATTGAATCGCCCTCGATGACCTCAAAAAACACACACACACACACATTTGATCAGTAAAATGAATAAGACGGACTGGGAGTGAATATTAACTAGGCTAAGGCCCATCTCTTAAATAAACCAGGATTAGCTTGACCTTGGTGATCACACGGTGACGGGCCTGAGCGCACGCACTGATTGGCTGAGGAGATTGGACCAGTAAACAAAAAGTAGCTCATTTATCACACACACACTGACAGCAGAGCTGAACGTAATGTAGACATGCTGTTCGTGTCTGTACAATGCGCACACGCACACACAGAGGACAGCAACTAAATGAAAACAGTGACTCCACAGAGAGCTCTGATCCCAAAACTGATTTCACTTAATTTATTAAAACCAATGTGGGTTATGTTTAGATGTATTTGAGGTACCAATATCAGCATTGTAGAGAAGTACTGTTTGTAGGTTTAAAGGGTCAGTCCACCCATATTACAATAAAACAGAGGTGTTACTCTATAATACACTGCGATGCAGCTCAAAGTTGAGCCATGAGGTGTAAATCTCTTTCTATGTAGCACTTTTTGTTTTATAACGAGCTCGCCAGCAGTCACTACATCTGAGCAGCTCAAATAGAGACAACCAGTGGACTTGAGTGTTGAGCCACTGCTCCTGCGGATGACAACAGAGACCAACCCGGTCCTGGATAAAGAGCTACGAGACGGATGGATGGATTGATTGGCGTTAGTGCCGAGCAGGTGGGAGAGAGGCCGCCCTCAGTCAGAGTGATGTTCGCTACAGATGAAGCCGGAGAAATGCAACAGGAGGACATTATTATGATCAGCGAACAAGGGGTCACAATGTCAGTCTAATCTCAAGCCAGAAAATACTTGACTCAAAAAGCCATGAATATGATTATGCCAAAAAACAGATGCTCTCTCACGCCCCGCAGAGAAACCCTGTATGTTCAGAAAGGAAGTGGTGGGAAAACAGCCGACTTTGCCCGCCAGTTTGTGACATTTTAACATTTATATTCAAATCGTGAGCACAACATCTAGACCGGGGGGAAAAAAGAAACACAGAAATCTTTGAGATCAAGTTTGTGTTAAACAAAACAACTGCAGATGCATATCTACTCAGCCCAAGCTGAGAGGTCTGTTATACTGCGTTGCCTTCTAATGTTATGCGGTTTAATAATAGCACAAAGTACATGAGCGGTTATTTAAAAAGTTTTCAGGGAAGCTCACAAGGCACTCCAGTATGTAACCATCAGAGCACAGCCAACACCACAAAAACGTTTATAGACTAAATAAAAATGTCAACTATGGGGGGAAAAAGAGCTATTTATTTAGGTACTAGCAAGAGGACTGAATTCACACAGGAGCTGTATCGTTTAAGTTTTTACCTCTGAGAATATATTCTGTTGAATCAAGTGGCTGCTCGTCCAACGGCGAGTCTTTGCTCTCTGTGCAACACGTCACATACTGACAGCTGTTGGCTGACAACCATCAACACCACGGCCACAAGTGTTTGTGACGTCTTAATGAAAAATGTTGCATCTTAAATCTTCCTGCATGATTTCATTGTCAGAGTGAAACTGTCCACATAAAAGGGTTTTCAAGCGTTTGCATTAGATCTATTCACACAGATGATTTTGTAGTAGGACCATGAAAATATTGCTGAGCAGCGTGAAATCACCTGCACTGTTCACTGCAGATAAGGTCTGAACAGGGCAAGGCATTGGGTTAGTTTACAATCCACCATACTCATTAATATGTCTCTCCTACAAAGTCAAGTGCACCATTATGTTGGTAGCTGCTTCATTTGTCTATCAGATTTGTAAACCTGTATAACTACCGCTACTTTATGACCGCTACTTTCTCACAAAGGCTGGTGGTTGGTGTGAAGAGGTAGAAATGTGACAAAGTACTCAGATCAACATCGCCCCCTTTTGGCTGTTCCACTTCAGTACAAACATAAAAGTGTTCGCATCTTTGTGTTTGTTTCTCCTTATGGTGCAAAGGAAGAACAGATGAAGACATGATTGGCACCTTTTAAAGTTTGTCAGGCAATTAAAAAAAGATATTTGAAGGTAGACGTTAGCATTTACCATCAAAGTTAACAGTCATTTTTTAGGTTTTAGTTCAGTCAGTCGAATTCGAATAGTTAGTATGACCCTGATAAGAATGTGTAACACTCGGTTTGCTTGGGAACTGAATGTGTGTGTGTGTTTCAACATACGGTGTCCACAGCCTGGGGAAGGTATCCATCTCCTCCTGCGTGTACTCGCTGAGTTTTCTGGGGATTTTTCTGGGCTGCTGCAGCTCCTCCGTCAGGTTGGCTCGGATGTCGTCTGGCAGCTCCTAGTGAGGGGCGAACAGAAAGGACATTGAACATAACAAATGAAAACGTGAGCAGTACAAGAACTGTAAGGAAATGAGACAGGAAAAATAATGAAAGGACATAACATGAACAAGAAGGTGAGAATAAAGAAGGAGGTACTATTCTACTTTCCAAAACACTCACAAACAACAGCTTGAACTGCTCTGAATTCTAAATGTGACTGCAGACATTCACATTCATGAAGCCCATCTGCTTGTAATTAGTGATGCACATCTGATGGTGGATATTAAGCCAGGATCAAAATACAACACAGGTATCTGACTTCCCTCACCCCTAAATTGTGACACCAAACACCTCGTGTATCACATTACAAGTCGAAACTCAACGATCTGATTTTCTTCCAATGCCTGGAATTAATGATGGCGTTCTCTCGCATGGATACAAATTACATCCAGTTAATATTTGGGCAGGCCACCCAGGTTAAATCAACAGCCTGTCGAGTAATTGATTTCAGAAGCTGTGATGTGTGACGCTCGTGGTTCTCGCCAACATCCTCTTAAAACAATTACAATTGAATGCTACCAAGTGCCTGCAGATCACTGCATCAATGACGCAATGCAAGTTTCTCTCAAGGAGGACAAGGAGACAGATTGATACACTGATAACTACATGACCATCAGTTGCTTATTCACACATCCAGCACACAAGGAGCAACATTAGCAGCACTAGGAGTCGCGTTAACGGCCATCCAGCAAACAAAAGTCCAGTCTTTTAGTTGTTGGTCTCTAGCCAACTTCTGAGGGAAATATCTGTTTCTTTAGCTGCTAAATGCTCCACGATTTTCACCTGCTAGTCGCTAACGGTCCTGTTTAGTGCTAAGCGGGTAGCTCCTTGCTGCCACTCAAACCAAAGCTGATGAGAGCAGTGAGAGTGAACCAAAACAGTTAAACTCTGTACAACTGACACAAACTGAGCTGGGGGATCATTCTCAGTGGGTTTGAACACTTTGAGTGACCCCTTTCACCAAAACAGTCATTTGACCTAATCTATAAAATATATAGGAGACCGACTGAAGCTACTAAGGCAACCTCACAAGCAGTGGGAAACACTATAATCCCATCTAATTGTCCAGCACTTTAAAACACAAACCTGCTGAGACAATGTAGGTGAAGAAAAAGGACTAAAACTCTCCTCCGTCGAGGGCAACAATCATGTTCGACCATGTACGTACGTATATACTGTAGTTATCAATTGATATTAACTATAAAGGGGACCTGGATGAAGGGCGATTAAATCGGGTTCATTGTTTTGTGTCAGTATCCGCAAAATGATCTCAGTGCACCGCTCCTTAAAATGTGCCCACTTTCTGTCCGTCCTTAATGAGCCTGGTTGATTGTCTGAAGACTCATCAGCTGGAAGAGAAACCGGACTTACGTCATCAGGAAAGATGTGTAGTCGCTGCATCATGGTGCGGCGCTGCAGATTCCTCGGCAGCATGCCGTAAACCGCTAACTTCACAATCTGGTGAGAAGAAGCACATTGAAGAGGTTGACATTTAATCAGCTTAGGGTCTCTTCTAAAACAGTAGAAAAAGCCGGTGTCTATAGCAACCGTATATACTTTTTTTACGTTTTCTCACATTTGCTTCCAAAACTATGTTTCTCAGTATGAGGCTGGTCGCACAAATGTGAATTTGACTTGGAGAGAGTTACTGGAGCGAGATGTTGGACAGAGGCTGTGCTCACAAATCATTCATCTGTCCAGTTCTGTTTCTCCTTCTTCATTTCAACTAAACCACCATCAGGACACCCGGCTGTGGTCAGTGGCTGGACTAAAAACCTACATCAGGAAAGAGCCAACAGCAGAGTCAATGTCTCTCATGGTTTTACAAACTACAGATTGCAAACCAGTTCACGTCATTCACATATGTTTCGTGTTTCCCACATGACAAGAGCAATTTTACGGTATTTTTATTAGCCTACAAAAACCTCCAAACCATTCACGTATGGCTCCCTTTCTGCTGTTGTAGTTGACATGTTAAATGATTCTGAACCGCCCCGTTATTTTTGTGCAACATCCACTCACTCCTGACCTGTGAAGCTCAGTATTAAGGTTAAACACACCACGTGTTCCTCTGAATAGGATTTATGCATGTTATATACAGTTATGAAAAAGTGTTTGCCCCCTTCCTGATTTCTTATTTACCTACAACCCACTACTGAGCATTTACAGACAGTACACAAACAATCAATCAATATTTACAGTATACCACGCTATAATGTCGTTTTTATTAATATGTATGAATGTAATTTTCAACTATAACTTCTCCTGGCCTTGAAGCATCCTTAACTTGTGTATAAATAGATAAAGATAAGTTGTAATAAATATGAACTACTAAGAAGTCTTATTATATATATTCTTAGAATTATTATTAACAGTTGATAACTGCTTTATAAAGTAAAACAGTGCAAGATTTGTTAATGTATGTAATCATATTTCATTTATTATTGCAGATACATTATGTTATCAATAACTCATAAGGACTCATAAGGAGTTACAACTGTTGATGAATGCATTAACAAACATTTATAATAAAAGTGTTTATGTACTGCTAAAAGGCAAGGTTAAAATAAAGTGCAATTGGCATGCCAGGATTAAAGGCACACACACACACACACACACACACACACACGCGCACACACACACACACACACACACACACACATACACACACAGTTGTGTGAAAAAGTGTTTGCCCTCTTCCTGATTTCTTATTTTTTTGCATGTTTGTCACACTTAAATGTTTCAGATCATCAAACAAATTTAAATATTAGACAAAGATAACACAAGTAAACACAAAATGCAGTTTTTAAATGAAGGTTTTTATTATTAAGGGGGAAAAAAAATCCAAACCTACATGGCCCTGTGTGAAAAAGTGATTGCCCCCACCTGTTAAAACATAAATTAACTGTGGTTTATCACATCTTTGGAAAGCTGAGTTCAATTTCTCTAGCCACACCCAGGCCTGATTACTGCCACACCTGTTCTCAATCAAGAAATCACTTAAATAGGACCTGCCTGACAAAGTGAGGTAGACCAAAAGATCCTCAAAAGCTAGACATCATGCTGCGATCCAAAGAAATTCAGGAACAAATGAGAAACAAAGTAATTGAGATCTATCAGTCTGGAAAAGGTTACAAAGCCATTTCTAAAGCTTTGGGACTCCAGCGAACCACAATGAGCCATTATCCACAAATGGCGAAAACATGGAACAGTGGTGAACCTTCCCAGGAGTGGCCGGCCGACCAAAATTACCCCAAGAGCGCAGCAACGACTCATCCAAGAGGTCACAAAAGACCCCAGAACAACATCCAAAGAACTGCAGGCCTCACTTGCCTCAATTAAGGTCAGTGTTCATGACTCCACCATAAGAAAGAGACTGGGCAAAAATGGCCTGCATGGCAGAGTTCCAAGACGAAAACCACTGCTGAGCAAAAGGAACATAAAGGCTCCTCTCAGTTTTGCCAGAAAACATCTTGATGATCCCCAAGACTTTTGGGAAAATACTCTGTGGACTGACGAGACAAAAGTTGAACTTTTTGGAAGGTGTATGTCCCATTACATCTGGCGTGAAAGTAACACGGCATTTCAGAAAAGGAACATCATACCAACAGTAAAATATGGTGGTGGTAGTGTGATGGTCTGGGGCTGTTTTGCTGATTCAGGACCTGGAAGACTTGCTGTGGTAAATGGAACCATGAATTCTGCTGTCTACCAAAAAATCCTGAAGGAGAATGTTAAAACACAATGCTAATGCTAATGCTAGAGTTAGTGGATATGAGCCACAGGAACAGCTCCCTGGGTCTACTGTGCGTTGTCAAAATATTAAAAGATATATTTTTCTGAAAAGCACCTACGCTGTAAAACAAAACTATTTTAGAGGAGAAGGTGAGAGTTATTTAAATCTGTCAATGTGTAGACATCTCATAAAAACAGCAAAATGTGTTCCTCCAGCTGGCGTTTATAGCTCAACTCAGCTTTTTACTTCTGCCGATTGCATTCACGCTTCAAAAATCATGTAAGTGGTGTTCATGTGTGGAGATTATTTTACTGAAAAAAAAGTGCAAGTATCATAAACTTGTGTTTGTCACAGAGCTTAATTTCTGCAATAATTCTAACTTGAATGGAAAAATATCCCATTGGGAACCAGTGGGCAGTGAAACTACATAAAGTAAACTACAGTGTCCATGTTCATTGTAATGAAGGAACAGGTAACCCAGTCATAGTATTAGATTCAGGAGACTTCTGTTCAATGGTGTGATTTGTTAACAATAACAAAAATACACACATTAACCAGATTTATCCTTCAGGCTCATGAGTTGTTTTTCTCTTGTGACAAAGACATCAACGGTTAGTGGTTCGTCATGTGCAGTATGTAGGTCACATCAAGTCCTGAATGGAATTATCAGTGTGTGTATAACCCAATGAAGACTCCCCAACCCTGAAACCATGAATATGCAACACAACCAAAACCCAAGGAGTTATCCTTGAACTGACGTTCTTGTACGAAGTTTGAGAACGCACCAACCGACCACCATCACCAGAGTAAATTCACTGATGTTTAATCCCCGTTCTCTGCACTTCACATTAATATGCATGAGCTGCACGTATGAAGAGATAAATGTCTAAGCACGAAACACCTGCTCTTCACAGCATGTGGCAGACAAAGAAATGAGACTACGCTCAGAGAATGTGGGTTAACTCATACATAGATAATAAGAAAAAAAAACATGGTGTACAGAATGTGGCACTGGTATAGCTGAGATTTTAGAATTTTCTCTAAATAATAATAGTACAAAATTGAGAATATTGATTGACACTTACAGCTTTCGGGTCTTTATGGTGCAGTTGGGCAGCTGTGACCTGTTTAAATCCACCTGGATACCTTTAGAGAAAAGGACAAGCTCAGTCAGTCCTCGTCTCTACGAACATGTATCAGATGATATGAGAACATTGAGCCTCAACAACCCTGAAACCTCTCTGGTTTACAGATATTAGATACTACTGAGACACAAATTCATTTTAATTTTCTGAGTGTTTCATAAGCATTGAAGAACAAAGACAAGTTGGAAACACAAGAAAAAGAGGCGGGTAAAGTGAAGCATCATATGTTTATATAAAAGTATGCACTTACTGCGTGTGTGACGAGTAGACTTTCTGCTCCCATTTGTTCCCAGAGAAAGCTATGTGTTTGGTGTTTATAAGTACCACATGGTCTCCACAGTCACCTGCGAAGATGTTCAGAGAATGTCTATTTTCAGGATTATTGTAAAAAAAAAAAAAAAATATATGAAATTGAATACTTGGCTAATTCAACAGAGGGACAGACATAGCTGGTATGCTGATGACAACACCAAAAATAGTGGTTAGTTTGCTAGACCGACAAGGAGTATTCTGAGAATGGCACTTTATAAAGTATTAGTAATAAGGAAGCAAACTATTCATAAAGTTTATCCTCTACTGCCATCGTGTGGCCGTTCCATTCCACAGCAACTTCAAACTAAGGGTGCTTGGATTCATAATTAAAAACAAAAACCAGTAGTTTATACATAGCGTAAGGGTTATGCTTACGTTAGACAGATACTCATGACTTTACATGTGTGTGTAACAGATCGGACTTCTACTCACTCAGTGCGTGGTAGATAGGCTTGTGTTTCCCCTGTAATCTAACAGAACACATGGTCGCGAGCTTCCCAGGAGGCTGCTGTCTGGCATCGATCAGGAACCAGGAACGAGCGAAGGTCGCCCATTGCTGAAAGAAGAAAGAGACAAAGAATGGGTTAAATTAACTGGCATGGGATCATCACATGTCTGTTGGTGTGAGACGAAACAATAGAGACCTGGGGAATTTCTCATTTCCCAGTTTGTGCAACCTTGATCAGAAACTGCTTCAGCTCAGACTCCGATAGATATATAGATCGATATTTATTATAGCCTTGATATAATTCATTGTGTGAAGCACTACAAAATGTCTGTATGAAAAATGCTACACAAATAATGAGTGACACACAAGCACACTCTTAGTCTATATACATGACAACATGAAATACAACAAATTAGTGCTGAATGCAAGAGAATGCTCTTATTGATTTAATATGTTGCCATCAGCAGCTGTTTCCACTTGTAAAAATCATGTCACGATTATAGCAGTTGAATTACAATACACAACTTCCAAAGTTAAAGTTAAAATGACAAAATGTCTCGCTCTTAAATCAGTGCACAAAGACCTCTGTTGTATACAAGTAGGCACAACATCTCCCAAAACAAAGCTTCAAGCTAGCAAAATTTGATGTGATGTTAAAGGGGAATCTATTATTTTTCCTTATTTTCTCTCATATTTATAATAATACAATGTCGGATGTTCATATTAAACGTGGCCAAAGTTTCAAATAATGAGGTAACGGTATGCAAAAGTAATCCCTGTGAGGCTTTACATCTTTTCTCTGCTTCAGCCACATCCTAACATCCACCTGCTCAGTTTAAATGTGTTCACTTTTCCTAAATAATAAAGCAGTGCGCGTCTACAATGTAGCTTAAGGTATTTACAGAGCTAACGGTGCTATATGGAAGTCTACCGAGGCTAACAACAATACTGGTTATAGCTCTTCTCCAAAACAATAGCGTTGGGTTGTACAGATGTGACAATCCACTGGTTACATTACTAACTAGCATTGATCATTAACGTCACAATAATAGACAACAATATCACACACACCGTTGTTGTTAGCAAACCCACGTTAGCTAGCGGTATATTTATGCCAAAAATTAATCTAAACACAAACAACGGTCAAATTGTGAGGTAAAAATCAGAAAACACAATGTATAATGTGTACGGTTACCTGGGCAGATCTGGAGAAACTTGACATTTCTATGAAACTAGCAGCACATCCTCAAAACATTTGACCCTCAACGCGTGAGAAACGGTCCGTCTGAGAGTTTTTCTCGGTTGAAACAAGAGTTAAGGCTTCACCGTTCCTATGTTACGGGTTAATCCATATCTAGCTCACGTAGCAAGATGTAGCCCTGTTTCATAGACATTCACTAGTTCAACTCACGGCAACCTTGAAATAATTACTCGATATGTTCGTATTTATTTTGTTTTGTTTTCGAATCATAGTTTCTACCCGGTCCTACTTTGACGTCGCACCTCAACGGCGTCACCAAACTTCCTTCCCACCAGAAAACGAGAGCGGGGAAATTTGACAAGTCGCCCCACTATTGCTACTAAGAAAAGTAGTTTATGACTTTTGTTTTGTTCATTAAAACGTCATCGATCCAGCCTGACGTCTGACCCAACATGAGAACTTTAGAGGAGGTTCAGGCCACTCTGCAGATCGCCAAGCTGAAGGAGGAAGAGCTACAGAAAACAATATACTGCCTGTCTTTTGGGGAAAACGTTTCATCTGCAGACTACTGCCTCATGGAGCTGGATGACACCCTGTGCAAACACATAGAAGCTGGGCAAAGGTAACGTCTTCAAATAGTGTGAATTAATGTAGTCTTGGTCTGTGGTGAAACACACCGACAATACGCTTATTGTTTAATGTATGTGTTTTGTTTTTGTAAATTGACAGTTGAATAAACTAATAATTTCAGCAGTACTATTCATTATTTTAGAACCTGGTAAGAGCACATCATCTGGAAACTTCACCATTTTCTCTTGTGTGCAACTGTAATGATTAATGTGGTTGAAGATAATTCAAATGAATGTGCAGTACAAGATGCATGATCAAGATGGATGTAAACATATGTAAATGTCATTGATAAAACATAAACCAACAATTATTTTTCACTTTTTCCAGTCTAGTGATTCGAGGGGATACGGATGAGCGTGCGGTGCTCTGTAGCGGGGACAAGACCTACGATCTTAAAATAGCCGACACATCCAACCTGCTGCTGTTTGTACCAGGATGCAAAACGCCAGACCAACTAACCAACAGCCAGGAAAGCACTCATGTGGTGCACAAGCAGGTATGGAAATGACAAACTCACAGGTACCTGCCTGGTATGCTGCAACACCCACACAAAAAGACACAACCTACTGTTTACATATGGGAATATTGGTTTAGTTGCAATTATAACCCATGTGTACTAACAATATCGTACTTCTGTTGTAGATCTGGGGATTTTGTAACAGCTACTGGGAACTGAAGAAACAGCGTCCTAAACTGAAGAAACTGAAGACGGTCTTAATGGAGAATCCTTATGAAGGACCTGCTTTAGGGGGGCAACAGGAGAATACAGAAAACCGGGTAAATGCATAGTCTACAGTGAAGTCATTTATCATAATGTCTTATAGGTCTGTGTATATAGGTATAGCGCTTATTGGAATATCTTTAAAACTTTGCTGAGTATAGCACTAAAATAACCTTTACATAATTTATCTTTTAGATGTAATTGTAACAGTTAATAAGTGTGTGTTCCTCTGTTACCAGTACACAATGCACGATCTGTTGGACAGGATCCAGTCCAGCGAAGAGGAGCTAAAGATCCACTTAGAGACCATCCATGCCTGTCAGATAGATGGTAAACAATGACATTTTTTAATAATAATATGTATATTAATTGTTAATCATTGTCAAGGTAGTGCTCCTGGACGGTACATTGCAGGGTAGATGCTTTCATAAACACAATCTCTCTATTCTTAGCTACACTCCTACAAATATAGATAACAAAACAGATGTTTACCTGATGTTTAGAGAGTGTCTTTTCTGTCTTTCAGGCTACTGGCGTGTGCTGGACTTTGACTATGAGATGAAGCTGCTCGGTCATGTTACTCAGCTGGTAGATTCTGAGTCGTGGTCCTTCAACAAGGTTCCCCTTCAAACCAGTCTGGAAGAGTTGGCTCCACTGGAGCCCAAGTAAGTTAACGACAATGATCGTCATGCTCATGCAACAGGAAAAAACAAATGAGGTCATATTGACTTTCTGAGTCTTTATAATAGATACTCAGTCGGGTTCCCATCACTTCTCTTCTCTCTTTCACAGAGAGATGATCGAGCACTGTTTGGACTGCTATGGGAAGCGCTTTACTGAAAACGGTAAACAATGTGTGGAGACTCAACTGACAGTTAGTAAATTGCTAGTAGAATCCAACACAATAACGTCAATATGAAAGTACACACTACTAACATCTCTGTATGCTTCTCCCTCTATATAGACAAAGTTTTTTATGCACTGCATGAGGATAAAGTATGTCGGGGCACGGCGTTACTGCTGCTGCAGAACGCTGTGAAGTTCAACCTGAGAGAGTTTCAAGAAGTGTGGCAGCAGAGCGTCCCAGAGGGCATGAGCACAAGATTAGACCAGCTAAAGGTAATTAGCCTGTATTGCTCTTGTATACTTATTTTACGTTGTTTATTTACTTTTAAAGAGAAGAGCTTCGGACCATTTTTGGTTATGAAATGTCATCAGTCCATGCATTCTTTACAAAGGTCAAATAAGTTGATTTAAGTAGTAACATCGTAAAGCGCTACGGCTTCTAGGAGTCAAGAATCCATTCAAATCACCAGATTCCTCTTCTTAACTTATTGGGTTCTCTCTGCCAAGCCAGTCCGCATTTCTTTACCTGACGATTCAATTTGCATCTACCTCTGATCTAGAATGAGTCAATATGATGAACAGTCTCAAACCAGCCTCTGATAATCATGCTCTTGTAACTAAAGAGCGACTTGCCGCAGCTGTTTAGATCCGTTCTGATTTGCGTTTTAAATCTTCCAGAGTGTCGCTCTGGTGGACCGCGCCTCCCACCCTGAGACCATCTGCCTGCTGCGGGTGGAGGATCTCCCAGAAGACACGCTGGAGCGCTTCAACCACCTCTTCACACTCAGAGAGAAATGGACAGAGGATGACATCACGCCATACATACAGTGAGTGTCATCTATTTAGGACATCATTGTAATGTTTGATGAAAGCAAAAGATTAACATTTATGTAAAATAAAAGCACAGACATTTGTCTTGTTGACAATACTGCAGAAACAAAAACACATAAGTTCTTTCTTTAGCTATCTGATGGATCATAATGTGTAACGCTTCTTCCCTCTACTTCATTCAGGGACCTGTGTGGAGAGAAACAGACCACCGGAGCTCTACTGACCAAATATGCTCGATCCTCAATGCAAAATGGGATCAAGGTCTTCAACTCCAGAAGGCCTGTGGCTACATGAGCATGTGCGCTATGAAGAATTTAATTTACATTTGAAAATTAATGCGGTTATGTTTTTTTCCCCAGAGTGACTTTTGCAATTGTCGAAATTATTTTACGCATAATTGGTCTTAAAAATACCTCGTTAGCGTTGTACGTTATCTTGCAGCAACCAGCTAGCTTGTGAAGTTTAAAATAATAAAAAAGTAACCACTTGAAATTGAAATGTTGAAAAATCTTTGTCACTAAAACCAAACTTCATCTTTGTTTCAGTTGTTTTGTTTGTAAATAAAATGAGTTTTCATAATCACAGTAGTGTTTTTTTTCAGTCTCGATTTTCTGTGATTAACCCGAGTTGGACAATTCTTCATTTCCAACAAGAAAATGCAGCAACATAAACTTACCAGGCGCTGCACAGGAGGTTGTCCACAAGGTGGTGGCCTACGCTGATATATTCAGTGTGATCTCCACACAGTGACTGGATTAAACAGTATGTGCTGCTGCTCACGTCCTGCGATGTTTGTTCTGTACTGAATTCAAAGGTCAATTACTTGTAACGCAGAAAACGAGATCATTAACAGAATCACATACATACATACATGACTCATGAGATTGCTTTGATTCACTGACATGCTTAATGTCCTCAGGTTGTTGTAAACTATCAGGTTTCTGCAGACTGGGTCCCAGTCAGTCACAAATGGAGCTGAAACAATTAGCCTGCTGACAGAAAAACTAAATGAATATATTTTAATTATTGACTGATAAAAGACTTAACTTTGTTCTTATTTTATGGTCTTCAATTGCAGTAGTGACTGTTAGAAAATTGAGTGTCACAATTAACTTAACTTAGCTTAACTCTGCCATTCTCACTTGTGAGCTCTGAAGCAATGGGCTGAACTGGTTGTAAATATTATATATACTGCACATTTTTGGTGACTATTAATTGAGGAGGCTGAATTCAAGACAAGCAGATGTTCTACTGAGTGAATCATAGTGTTTTTGGAATAATACAGTTTAAACACCAAAATCACCTCAGCTTGATTGTTCACAGCCTCATTACAGTGTAACACGTTTGAAAAGACGGTTTAACTTTAACCCCTCAAAAATATATAATCGTATAAATCCACAAAGCATTAAAATGACAGGAATCACCGTACTGGCTGCTATAGGGGTCAAATGTGTGCCTGCAGTTTAAAACAAATGTTCAGTTAATCTAAAACCTCATAAAGGAGTTCTAGAGGTCATGAACAGAAACCTGGTCCCTATTTACCAAAATGTAATTTTGGTAATATTTCAAACAGTCCTGTCTGTTCCATGGTATATCTGCAGTACACCTTTTAGCCACATGGGGGAGCCTGAATGTTGGTATTTTTCTCATAGCCTAAACGTACATGAAAGGATGGCGCTCATTCTGTTTGTGAAACAAACAGAATTTGTAAACGAGAGCCTGTTAACTCCACCTAAATGCATTCATTTGATCTGTATTCAACATGTATGTATCTATATATTTTCAAAAACACAGTTGTGATTTATCTGGTTTATATATTCAAGATAATAAAAGGCGACGCAGAAAAAAATGGTGAGGAACGTTCATTTACTTAATTCGGTCTTCTCAGGATTTCTAGACAAGGCCTTTTGAGAATTGGGTTGCGATGGCTTGTCGCCATAGATTGAGTCAGTGGTGCATGTGTGCGACTCAGAGAGTGTTAAACACCCACAGACTGTGTTTCTTCACTAACATTACCGTCTGTGTGTGAATCAGCATTACTGACACATGAGAAGAGCTCGACAGACACAGGCTTGTTTCAACACAGACGTGATCCTGCTCACACACATCTGTGCTTCTAAAATGACTTAATCTGCATTGGCTGACTGATTCACCCCGACATCACCCCTCGGGGGTGCTGACTTGTCAGTTCAGTGGGTAGAGAGATCCCAGCTGTGTCTGTGTGTGTTTGTTTGTTTTTGCTGCATTGGTCACCATAGAGCCCCAAAATGATGAATTCTCTTTACTTCCTGTCCTCATCTGTGTGATCTCTGCCTTTTTCTTCACCTCCTGTGTTCCTCTTTCTCCATTCCATGGAGTAGATGCGTATGTCTCATTTGTCATCATCTTCCTCTTTCTTCCGTCACAGAAACTACATGAGCAGCAACATTCAAACTATTACAGCAGAAGACCAGATGGAAGTGACAGTGTAAAGTAATCAAACAAAGTAAAAAAAACAAACGTTTTAAAGATGAGGTTGTTCTTCTATTCAACAATGGAAACTGACATTGGGAATTCGGACAGCCCCACTATTTCTCAACACACACACACACTCATATGAGCTCATTGGTATTGCTTGTTTGATTTTGCAGTGAATTATATTTAGGGGCATAAAGACGAATAGAGTAACTGAGCAAGTCCTTTATTCTTGTCTCGTTCAGTATACCAGCATTTAAAAATATGCTTTTTACTTGAAAAAGAGGAAATTTCTCTCCCATTCTAAGCATAAAATACTCTTCTCTGGTAAAACATCATTACAATCATTAAATAGGATTATCATATAAGCATCTATTGTGTTGTTTTGGGTTTTCAAACCTTTAAATGCCCCATCGTTGATCCGGACCAAACTTTAGTTTGCTTTACATTCAAGATAATCATGAGACAGCCCTGAGCTACAATGTGTTGTACATCTATTGGGTCTTTATTTAAAAACAAAAAATATTTTTGTGATTACCATGTTTTACTTTTATTTTAAAATTGATTTATGTTTAATTTACTATTATTCATCTCAAAGAGATGCACTTGTTCATCCAAGGACTATTCACATTCAATATGTAAACAATGATTTATTAAATCCGGCCATTCAATCTCAAGTTTTTCTTTAAAAAAAGAAAAGTTGGATTTGACTGCTTTGGAATTAAAAGTGATCATCCCGTTTTCCTGTTCACTCAGCATTCTGTGTGCTAACTGGCTACCTGGGCAACATGTCCTGTAGGTCTGCCACGACATAGGCAACCACGGCCCACAATGCCGAGCAGAGGTTCATGTCTCGAGGGTCTTGAACCGACATGGTATCACCTTCACTGTGATGGAACCAGAAGTACCGACTGTCTGCCACATGGAGGCTAGCACCTGAAGGAGGGATGGAGAAAAAGATGGAGAAAACACAATAAAAATCAAAACTGTTGAAACAATCCTGCACTCAAAGTCATTACATTGTATATGTGAACAGAAAGGTTATTGCATCTGGTGTAATTCTCCAGGACATTACTGTGGAAGGGGAACATGGGTCTGACGAATACAAGGAGTGGTTAAATTCCTTTAAATAATAACTCATTAAAGATGTTGGCCTAGCATGTGGAAAAGAACCAAATACACTAAATACTGAGAGAAGAAAGAAGTCTTTGTTTCAATAAAACATTGAGCATAGCTTCTGGCCTCATGGTTCAATTTTAATATTTTTTGCTGGGAGAGCTTTGGGATCGTCCTGTGAAGCTACTATTTCTATGGTCAGTTTGTTCTTAACCCCACATGGAGAATAAGTGCCACAGATATAACAGATAACCAGGCACCATCTACTGAAGAAGATCATCTTATATGGCTGAAAGCACCAGAAAAGGCTGATGAGTGGACCTTGAATTGGATTTTTGTTTTATTGTGTTATGAAAGATTTTTGTTTTTATTGCAAATCCAACATGTCACACTCCAGACCAGTAGGTGACGTTAAAGCAAAAATGACTGTCTATCCACCCACCAATGAAACAAGTTGAAGTTAGTTTGTTTTTAGCTTGGTTAGCTCATCCCATATATCTAGACTGCCCTGAATTTAGCTGTCACACATGGGTCGAAAATGCGCGTATCCCGAGTGTAGAAGCACGGAGGGGTTGCACTCTTTGCCGTCCAACAGAGAGACGGCACACCGCTGGCTGCACGCAATGGGACGGGTCGACATACCCTCCGCTCCTGTTTACGTGTGCAACCTCCACTTTACGCGCGAGTGCTTCTCCAACTATGCAGAGGTGGAGATGGGATTCAAAAAGCAGCTTCACCTAAATCACGATGCTGTCCCTAACCCTGCGAAAGTGGTCACACCGGTGAGTAACACTTCTAACCCAGAACACGTGAAAATAGGGACATCAAATACAATACAAGCCTCTCTGCTTTTGTTAACTCTTTACAATTAGTTTCCATCTTCAGTTGATTTCAGGAAGGAGATTCGATTTTATAAAACCAGTCACCAGATTAATGCGTCAGTCTAACGTTGTTTTCTGTCCACTCCGATGTGGTTTGTATACTCGAGGTCGAAAAGTGGCCGGTGGTGTGGCTCTGTGGTTCAGCGGCATATGCCGATCCATGGAGTGGGATGCCGCTGCTTGTTCCACCTCATGGACCGCTTCCTAACAGCAGTGCGTCTTGAGAGAGGAAGGCCGCCGTCAGACCGGAACACGAGTACCGCCCCCTGATTGCATAATGCAAGTTACATGCAAATGACTTGGTTTCACGACAAGTGCTGCCGTAAATGTATTTTTTTATTTTTTTTATTCAATGCTGTTGAAATGACTACAAAGTAATGTCATACTTGCTGATGTACCTTGGAGCAAATAGTAGAGCTTTTGTTAGCCAGGCCGAAAGAGAAGCAATTAAGTGAATGTCTCCGAGATGTCGGGGTAATTCTCCCATACAGACCAGGTGTCTGTTCTGGGAGGATTTGTGCCAAATGTTTCTGACTAAGTTACTTGCCAGGGTTGAAGATACACTACTTATTATTATCTTAAATGGTAATCGGAGGAAGGCACAAACGAGGAAGACTCAAGAGGAGGAGAAAAGTGGCCGCAATACGCCACCAAAAAATAAGCTATGCCAGAATTACGCTTCAAAAATCATACAATTTTAAGTATCATTAATGTTTGTTTGCTAAAGAACTCATTATCTACAATATTCAAAAATTTCGGCGTTTTGTCGAGGGAACCAGTAGGATGATGTATTTTTTGTAGGCCGGGTTGGCCTACAAAAAATACATCATCCTTGCAGCACTCCATTTATGAACCCTCATAAATGGTCAGTAAATGTAAATGATCAGTGAGTGATGTACCGTCCCTTCAACGTCCTTTTCAGTCGACAGAGATGCTGTGGTTGCCGTTGCTCAGGGTAGCAGCTAAACAAATGTTTATCATGTTGGTTGAAGAAACATGTCGATCATGCAAAAACAATTTGATGGTTAAAGGAGTGATGGAAAACTTGAGATTCAAGACTGTTGCTGTTAATAATCACAAGTGCTCAGGTGTTGCCATTTTAAGAGCAATTGAAATGTTCCTATAGTCTAATGTTAGGCATCTTCAAGCAAATTGTTTACCTTTTTTTAATTAAGCTAAATATTTGTGACTGATTTTGAAAGATTTATCTGTTGTGCTTGGGGATGGGAGACGGACTAACACTTTGTTGACTTAGGTCTTTTCACGTAATTTGTTGTTAATAACATAAATGTACGTCCTTTAACAACAAGGTTGACGGTTCAATTCAAAAGTGTCATTGAACGAGACACTGAACTCCACGTTGCTCCCCGTGTGCTTTACAGCAGCTCACTGCCCCTAAATGCTAAGAATGGGTTTAAATGCAGAGGTCAAATTTCATGCATGTACCTGTATATACATGACGATTGAAAGAAAGAACATTTCCAGCGTCATCTTTCATAAAATATGTATATACTGTACAACTAATGATAATAATAATGGTGGTAGTAGAGATAACAATACCATCTTGTGTGCACTGTCCACTTTGCTGCTGTGTTCCTGTGAATTTCCCCACTGCGGGACTAATAAAGGATTATCTTATTTTTATGGTTTTAGAAGCCATGTTTAAGAAAAAAGTTGTTTAAAATATTTGTGAGGATTGATGCATAAAGGTTGCTGTTCCCTGTGTTGCTGTTTAGGGCACAGTGGACAGTTTCTGTCGAATGTTGCCTGCTGTAAGACACGTGGCCTCCCAGACTGACCCCCCAGAGAACATATCAGTCGGCACACAGCCATCAATGGAAGCTCTGACTGACCCTCCAGGGAGAAGATCAGTCGGCACACAGCTATCCAGGAAAACTCTGCAGAATCGCTTTCGAAGTACAGGTGTGTAGTCTGACATATCAAGTTGTACATTCAATTTTCTTCTGCTTTTACTTACAGTAAGAGTAAGCGTGCTCGATCATTTTGCAACTGTAGACATGACTGACAGAATTACTGATTTCTTTGTCGGTGCATTGAAGCTACCCAGGCGAGAGTGCCTAGCAGAGATTGTGGCATGTGCACCCTCACCTTCCCCTTGGACAGTCCACTCCTGTTACTACAACCAACAATAGTAAAGAGACCATCCAAGAGACCTCGACTCAGCCTTACAGACGAGGACGAAGGGCCTTCATAACGTAGCTGGTGGTTCATGAACCAGAGGATTCAACTGTCACTGTCGTGGGTTAACAGCTGTTTTCTTTTTTACCCACAAATTTCATGGAGAGGAGTTGGTGAATGACAGATTATCAAATGGAACAATTAAGACTTCTGAAAACTTGAGTACAGCATCAAGTTGTCAGCTGCTCTATTGGAGTTGTTTAATATTAAGACAACTGAACATCTTTAGGCAACTAATTATCCTGTTGAGTTATTGGGGATGCGTTTGTGGACTGCTTGGATGAAGGTTGAAATATTTTTGTTTTACTTTTAAGTCTTCAGTTCCTCTTCCACAAGTTATACCACATTGTCTTTCTGACTACAGTGCAATTTCACTTCTACTAAAACTAAACAGAGTTTTAGAGAAGATGTTTGGACCACATAAAAGATAGAAAGAGCAGATCATCGTTTTAAAATGAGGCAAACTTCTATGGCTTGGTACAGTTTCTTGTCGCCACTGCTAAACAAGGGATGGTACCTTAACATTAACAGTGGAACAGGTGAAGACATCAGTGAAATCTTTGATATTTAACAGAAAAGGATACTTGGGTTGATAACAATACTGGCCAGTAGATGAAACGTAAATCATTTGACAGGAAGGTCCAGTTTCAGCGCTGCAAGCTTCTTCTACAGTAACAAGTTGGTTCATTTACAGTACATCATGTCGAACATGTATAAGAAACCAGAACTAAAAGTGAGGAAAAAAAAAGTCACTCATTTATTGTGTGAAGCTACTGGTAATATGTGCGAGAATGACTGCGGAGCAGGCCAGCATGAAAACTGTAATTTCCTTGTTGACTGGAAAACTGTCAGCAGCCAAAAGCTGGGTCCTATCGTACTGTCTTCATTATTCAACCATCTGCGTATGGAGGTGTCTTTTTTATATGGGAAAATATAAAAACATACAGGTTCAGTGGACGTGTTGTAATAAAACAAATTTCTGTTATATTGATTATGTGCCGTTATTTCTATTTAATTATTTATTTAGGAGTAGTAGTAGCATTTAGTTTAGATATTTAGTGGTGTTTACAGACCTATAATGTGTACAATAGGCCCAAGGTCCAATTCTCAGGGCCCTTTTCCAAACATTGTGTCAAAGTGAAATAAACCAAAGTTACCTTTAAGTATAGCATTGGTGATTGTGACAATGTAACTATAATGTTATGGCATAATACAGTCGCTCACCCTTACTGCTAAATTAGAAGTATGTTTCAATTCAGATTGTTAAGAAATTCCACATAAAGTGGATATCTGCCCCCACTTCTCCATTCTCTACGGTATTATGTTCATAGTTCATCAAAATGAGGATGTGATTCTGTTTACACGGCCCTGTCACACAAAAAAGAGAAGGTATTAACACCAGAACCACAGAAATAAGGTTGCTAATGATGAGTTACTTCCCATTTCAAGTGTCTCACTTTGCTCAATTGTCATGTCATGGACATGTGTTGCTAGTTGCAGACAGACAGAGAAGACACATTGATTCGACCGACCTGGTACTCCTGCCTGCATCCACGGGGAGATGTCTGTCCCTTCTCCGTGTGCCTCCAGTTTGGTCGTATTCATGGGAGCCAACAGTTTGACCACCTCTGCCATGACCTGTTGATACAGACACAGTCTAGTCGCTTCTCAGCTCATCACACAGTCTGTTAATATGCCAGCGTTTTTTAAACATGGCTCAACATTGTTTAAAGTATTGTAATTCCAAAATGCATTGTCTTATTGTTACATTACATGGCCTTTGTAATTCAGTCACCAGGCTATAAACCCATGGTGAACATTCAGTGACCATGATGTTACAGTGGCACAACCTCAGAATTTATATTTTATGTGGATAAGCGTGGATTTTATGCTTTTAAATGTGATTTAAATGCTCAAAAGAGACCGTAGGTTAATTCGGTTAAATGTTGTGACTAGATTAAACTGTCCAATCTAGGAAGCAATGGTCTGAATGTAGGTGTAATGTGAAGTAAGGAGTAGATGGAGGAAATACAGCACATTCTCTGGACTGACTGCAGAATCTGTGCTTTGTAGAATTCAGACTTTTATACGCAAGCCTGAATAAATACTGGTAATTGTGTGACAGGCAGTGCGTTGTTTTGTTTTTTAATCCTACCTTTCGTGCTGCATCACTGCCAGTAAACTGCAGAGCCACCGGGGCAAATGTCCCCAAGTCAGACTCCATGACCAGGTCAAAGTTGGACATGTTCACCTGGGTGTGGAGAGGAAGAAGAGAAAGGAGGGAGACAGAGCAGATTGGAGATGTGAAAGGCCAAGAGAGAGCATGGACAGACAAAAAACAATCATCCAAACAAGTTGTGTTTGATTGAAAACAAGACAAGCTTCAGTCCATGGAAACTGTGAGCCACTCTTCATACAAGGCCTGAGGAGGTGAGTCATACACACATACTAACCACTAGGAGTTGCTGGTACAGCTGCCTTGACTGACTGAGGCACTGTAAGTTCCTATTTTGTAAGAACTAGACAGTCCTTGGGGAGTGTATTTTATTATGGACTGTGGGCTGGTAGGCCGTCAAAGCTCTAAGCAAGCTGATTTGCTATTCAAATCCTTTGCACAAACAAAAAGTCTGTCCAGATCACTGGAAGTACATTTCTACACTGCTATACTATATACGTTCACCGTGTGGTCTGACCCTTCTAGCGTCTTACTAGCAGGACAGTACCTTGTGTCGACTGTAGTACTGCTGCGCTCCGACTCCACCTTGCTCCTCAGCTGTCCACAGCACTGTCCGCAAAGTTCTCCTCGGACGCAAACCTGGAAACACATAAAGACTCAAATGAAAACACAAAACAAATGAACAAACAGAAAGAGAGAGATTACAGCTCCAATTAACAAATGACACAACTGTCATGTATAGTGATGACAATGCTCCAACTTTTCTTTACAACTTGTAATACACACTAAGGTTTACTGTATTCCTGACTACAACTTCCCTGGACCTGGTAGTTGGATGAACCTAGCACTGTAGGCTTATTCAGTTGCATTATTTTGTCCGTAACAGTACTGTACTGTTCATCCGAGCCCGTTTCCTAATATATAGGAAACGGGCCTTGCTACTCTGCAACAGTCGGAGGAAGTTACTGTTTACAGTCTGAAGAATTGTTTTGTAACTTATCCCTAAGTGTGGAACGTGATACTCTGCTGTATTCATCGCATTTACTAACCGGCTGTTGAGAGGATTCTGTGCTTCTCCCTCGTTCATGGAGCTTTACTATATTTTGCTTTTGTACATATTTCTACTGACTGTTACAGATGTTCTCTTCTGGTCTTGTCACTTGACATAAAAATATTGTTTATCTCAGTAAAGTAAACAGGTTACATAAAGCTAAATAATTAAGTAAATCATTTACTTGACATTGTTTGTTTTTGAGCTTGTGTAAGCTTGCTGCTGTCTGTATACTCTTTACCCATTTCTACTGTATGTAAATGTGTCTTTCTGAGGAAGATCATCTGTGCGGCATCATAAACTGTATATATGTGTGTGTATACACGGTATGTATGCGTCTATATTACCCAAGTCTTTGATGAGTGACAGGGCCTCCCAGGAAATCATGGCTCCACCTCCGTCATCCATGGCGCCTTGGCCCACATCCCAACTGTCCAAATGGCCGCTCAGTAAGACGACCTAGCGGATAGGACAGATAAAGAGATACAAACGTAGATATTAGAGACCGTGGTGGGACACTTTTGTTAGGTGCGTTTCCATGCAACTTGCATTTGTCTGATCTGGAGCGAAGTGTGAGAGAATAGGATCAGATAACACTCTCTGACCCATGTCTTGTTATTACAGCACACACACAAACACAATATGCATCAAATGGGACTCAGTATCTATAATAATAAAAAAATATCAGCAAGGGCAGACAAACTTATAAAAACAGGAACACAAAGAAACAAAAGTACACAGTTCAGAGTGTTATCGCTGTTTCGTTTCCAGGAATTGTAAGGGGTGGGATTGCCGTCAGTAAAATGATCCCGACCTTATGTTCCAGGTTACAAAACATTTCTGCCAAGCATAGTCAGGACAATGACCCAAAGGCCACACATTCCAGTAAATCAAAAGTAAATGTGTCTCTTCTTAAATATCAGAAATGCTCATTTAGATAAATGTTTTTACATAATTAAAGCAATTGGAATGTTTATTATTAAAAATAATAATATTAACATTTGTGAAATGTGTAGTCTACACACCTAAATGCTTTTAGCATGACGTAGAAATACATCAGCTGGGAATATGAGACACATAGGTATGTGTGTGCAAGATCCACTGAAGTGGTGTTGCAAAACCAGAAATATCTACCTCTACATCAATTTCCACAAACATGCTGGGTTTTTCCATGTCTGGGTTTAGCCCAGGTTACAGCATGCATCAGGGATTTTACAATAAACACACTGTGCAGACCACCTGCAGTGTTGAAATATCAGGTTTATCAGGATTCATTTACGTTGAAACTCATAAAAAACTTTGGTTATTTCTGTTGTACTGTAATTGTTACGTTGGTTGACCCTGTTCACTTTATATTATTACGCTGTCCCTCTTTCTACTGAGGAGTAGAGCTACCTGACTAGTCTTTTTACAATGTGTTGACAGTGGGGACAACTAAACATGTTGTAGTTTACATGTTTAAATCATGAGAGATCAACAAAGGATGTCTAGATGTGGTTCAGTGACATGCAGTTTAGTTGGGAATAAAAACAAACGTTTTCTGACCCAATGCACACTGATATTTATGATCATTACGCATCCCGATCACTGTCAAGCAACATGATTTGTGTTTTAGCCATAACTATCAACAGAAAGCCTACACCAGGACATGGTAGATTTAAAAAGGTAACATTTTCATTAAAAAAAACAAACAAAAAAAACGGAAGATGTAGAAGTCGAGTGGGTGGAAACAAATCCAAGCAACTCATCCACTCCGAGTGGCTCTGTAAGGCTAAACTGACTCACTGTACCTCAAATGTACATCTATCTATGAATGTGGGCGCATGTACAGACACACAGCAACCACAACTGCTGCTACAGCACAAAGTCACAGAGCCAGAAATGATGTCAACCATGTCATGCGTTTCATTTCCCTTTTCTATAATGAGCGACCGAACATTGGTTCCCAGATCAGAATAGTAACACAGCTTACGCCTGCGGTGTTCCTCTAATCCAAGTCTCCTTGCTAATTATTCAGTTAGCTCCTCCACAAATTAAACCAAAGAGACCGTTGTTGTAAAGAAGAACATAGTTCACTTAAATAACATGCACTGGGAACTGCTGAAACATATTGGACACAGTACCATACAAACTAATCTTGTGTTTGGCCATCTTGGACAATAATGTTTGGATGTGATGTATTTGCAGGCTCCAGAGGGAGCTGTGAGAGAGTAAAGGCTGACACACACACACACACACACACACACACACACACACACACACACAGGAATTTCCCAATGCAAATACCATCTACCTTCATCTAACAACAAAACATATCTTGTCAGATATTACAAAACGCCTCTGTCCCAAATGCAATATACACACTTCCTTAACAACAATATAAACGCCCATACTCAAGGCAACCTCCACCTATATACAGTGCACACCATGATTCACAAAGAACACTGTGGAAATTCCACTCAGGAAATGGAAAATGTTAAATCATTTTTGGTCAAGTCTGACAAGAAGCTTCCCCATCACTTTCTTGCTACAGTATGTTTCCCACAGGTTGTACCACTCATCTTAATAAAATGGTGCAGATCAAGTTTTAAATACTCTTCTCAGCTGTTTAGGACGTGCTAGTTCAACCAGACTGGGGGTCTCTCCCTGTGGATAGGAAGTGTTGGCCCTGCTCCAAGTTAAATCTCCCCCTCTAGTTCTAACTGTGTACCCACATCTGCAACATGTGCTCATCATGCCAGATCTGGTAGCCTGAACCCACTGCACTGTTTCAGCCCTGCCCACTCAATGACAGAAACATTAGTGGGTATATGGTATCATACGGCCTCTTCTGCAAACAGAGTGGCATGCATTTGGAGATTAGCAGCACTTTGTCTGTTTCTCAGGTTCAACCTGCCAAACGTGTCTAGGTCCCTACCCACACGTGTGCTGAGGAACTGTGTGTGACATCGTGTGACACTGCACTGCATAACTGCAAGTTGGGTCAGGTGATGTGTTTGCTCTGTGCACTGCATGCTGGAATCAGAGTTTTTAAATCCTATTTGCAGGTAAATGTCCCTGCTGAGCATCAGCATTGACTCAAAAGTGTCATACACAGCATACTCGTTTTACTTTACAACATCTGACAATTAAAAACAAATACCAAGAATGATGGTGGGTTCACAAATCCCAGTTTGTACGATAAAAAGATTAGAAGGTTAACGGCAGCAGGCCTGGCATTTTATTTGAGTTGTTTAGACTCGTCGCAAATAGAAAAAATGCCGTCATCTGTGAAGAATGCAGGAATGCCTGGCTTATTGTAATTTATTTAACAAATGTCATATGGTCAGAGTTTGGGCATTAATGAAAATAGGAAGCCAAGGTGGAGACATGTCTTGGGAATTTTTAAAAGAAGTTGAAAACTTCTATTTTTACTTTTCTTTTCAAAACAATCCAAAAATCATAATTAACAGATTCATATTTCATTTACACAATGCTGTCTTACCACATAAATATAATTATACTGACTAACAGAAAGGGATATTTCTTAGAGCCTCAGCACTTCTTTGGAAAGATTAGATCACACAAACATAAAACTGTGGAGTCGGCTAAAAGAGGTACACGATTATTTCCTTGTCCCACCCAACCGAGGAAAAAAGATACTAATTAAGAAAGAAAAACAAGAACTCAATAATAACAGTGTTTCCAGGACAACTGTTTCCCATACAATTAATTTGAAAGTCCAACCCCAAAAAGAATTGCCCTAACACTAAAAGACTGGAAAAGAGAGACTGTTGCATGACAAGAAACAGAGGTAGATGAATCAGACAGGCATGTGTCTGTGATGGGGGCATGCGGTCTACCTGCTCAGGGTGTTGCCAGCCTGTTATCTCAGCCACTGTGTTGAAGGAGTCAGCATCTGGTAGAGTCTTGGCTCCCATTGAGAGTCTGACCACGATCCTCTGCCCTCTCTGTGCCATACGCCACATTAGCTCAGCATCCTCCACAGTGATACAGGCTGAAGGGATGCGCTTCACTCCATCTTGGTAGTCCTGCAAACCTGTGTGGGGACTAGAAACAAACGACTAATGGATCTTTTGATTAAACACTCATTACACCAGAGAAATTTTCTGGATGGATGGATGGATGGATGGATAGATAGATGGATGGATACCTGTTAATAGAGAATGGAGTAATAGATCGAATGAGTGTGGCCACAGCTCCCACTTTGGCTGCTTCAGAGGCGCCATAAGCGCGGTAAGCCACCGTCTCCCCGTAGCTAACAAATGGTTGGTTAAAGACCACAATCCTCGCTGTGGCCTCGCTGGCTCTATTCTTCAGCTCCTCAAAAGACTGAACCACCAACACCTCTGCCTCGATACCTTGAGAGATAAGAGCAAGACATGGAGGAGTTAAAAGGAGGTGGACGACAAGCATTACAATTCTTTTATATAGTATGGTCTTTACCCTCAGGTGGTGTCCCTACACTGCTGCCCAGTCCCAGTATAGCCAGACTTTTGACTCTGGGTGCAATCATTTCTGCACTCTCCTTCCCTCTCACCCAATGTGGGATTTTGACTGGCTCTGGAGAAGAAAAGGTGGACAAAGGACACAAAAAATTAAATACTGCAGCACTGAGCAGATGGCAAGACATTGCTGAAAGAGATCCCTTAATTTATGAAAAGAATATCCTCATTGCACAATTATCATGTCTTGCATCTATGCGAGACAGATAACAAGGCATCCTCACCTAAATGTACGTCCAACCCATCCTGTGCCATAGCATCGTACATGTATTTGATAGCCATCTCCAGGTTGTGCGAGCCACTCACACGGTTCCCTATGGTGTCGGTGAAGTCGGCCAGCCGGCTGTGAGAGCGGTTCTGGGCCGCTCCAAACACAGCCAGGTCAATGATCTGTTTGGCCACATCAGCGTAGCCTGCGACCTCTGCAGCTATTGTTGAGACTGGATTCACACCACACAGAAACACTCAAAAAAGGAACTCAGGGTTTATATCCAAATCTTCTTTTTTTGTCTTTTACCCTTGTAGCAAAAACATTAAAATGAGTAAATACATTGCCTTTGTCACTTGAGTAGATACAGTAAATGAGGAATTAGATATACAGCCAGGCCACTATGTTATGTATATTTTTATTTGCACTATATATCAAGGCTTGTACAAAGACCTGTCCCAAAAACAAAGTATAAACAACAGGTCAAGGAAGCAATTAAAACCTACGGTGACTACTTTACATAGTGTACGTCAGCTGTAATCAAACTGAGCACAATGACTGAGTGTACACTCCATATCAATCTGCAATAAATTGACTTGTAGGTGGGTGTTGTTTAATAGATCCCAAAAGAGAGAAGTGAGAATCACAGGATAGGTGTTTCTGTTTAAAATTGGGTTCCTGTTCAACTGTTTTTCAATTAGTAAAGGCCATTCACAGCCTTAGCCAGGTATTGTCACTTCTGTTGCCTCAAGACAATGGGTGTGTACAGATTGTGCTTGATTGACAACTCACTAACTCTTCTGTTAGCTTCCTTGCATCCGTTAGGGCGGGACAGTTTCAAAAGAGTTTGGTGACAACACGTCATTTCCAGCAAAGCTCCACCACACGTCAACCTGACTACAGGTCTAATTAGCCAGGGTCGTTAAAAAACACCTGTGTGAGCTAATTAAAAATAAATAAATGGCAACCCTGATTTTCATACATATAGGCCTACATGGCTCTATCCTTTACTACATGTCTGAAGGTATAGGAGGGTATTGGTTACCTTTCCTTGCGGTATGATTGGATACATGCCCGGCTGCAGCCATTGACCTTATGGAGCCAGGAGAGCGAGGGTGACAGCCACACAGAGATGATAGCATGAGGAGAGACATGAAGAGGGAGAGGAGGAAGGGTGGTCCACCTTCCTGAGCCATCTGCAGAAAGAAAAAACATCTATGTGATTAACAGCTACATTACAGGGAAATTCCCCGTAACAAGCAGCCATTCATTGATTGATTCATCCAAGTTCTACAACGGATACTACAGTATCACTAATCTGGTGCAGTTTTGAGTTAATCAACCAAGTTATACTTTCCAAAGTAGAACTGTAGCTCAGTATTACCAATTTATACCAACCACCACTAAACCACCAACAACTTAATGCTGTGTAATCCCAGAGAGTTCACTCTAAATTAGACTATTTAATACTGCAGCATAGTTACATCACTATTGGGTGTTTTTTGGCACCGACAACAAGAACATGTTTGTAGCACTGAGAGCAGAGTATCTAATGTTAACGTTACAGCTTGAACTTTAACGTTAGTGGTTGAGCTATCCACTCAAATACACCACCAAAGTTGTACTGTTTCAACAAAGTCAGCTTCAGCTTCCTCTTTTATCAGTAACTGTTGACGTTAAAAGAATCAGATCTTCATACAGACGAGCTGAGGATGGAGAGTAACTACGATCATACAACTGGATTTAAAACCTCCATTAAATATCACAAACACGAACCCTTCGGGCGAAGTTGGTGCCTTTATTACAGTTGACGTTACAATACCAGAATATACACACCGTTTCCGTGCTCGTGATTCGCCGTGCTGTTAGTTCCGGTCCGACGGCTTTCACAATAAAAGCACAATCTGTACAAATTTGTAGCAGTAACATATAACCGCAGTAACCTCAGCAGACACTCAGATCTCCGTGGTCAACTCAGCAGACACTTACATTTTAATGCGCCTATATGCTGAAATTCACGGTAAACGCATTCAAACGGCACAGATCGGGAGCGAGCGAAGGACTTTGCAAAGTTAGTGGAAAGATTAACGTGAGACAAGATCCGGTTTTCAAAATAGGATTTCAAATAATCGGGAAATATTACCGTCAGACAACATCCGGTTTCCAAAATAGGATGTCAACTAAGCGTATATACAAATTGCATTTGTGGAAATAAGATTAAATGAATTATATTAACATTAAGTATAAAACATGTTACCTGCATCTCGTGAGTTAAACAAAGGTGCTTTGGAGTGCTAGGAATACACACACATAATTTCAGGAGTAATATAGGTGCACTACAATTCCAGTGTCTGCTGATTGACCACGGCCAGCTGAGAGTTCTGAGAGTAACTACGATCATAAAACTTGATTTGAAACCTCCATTAAATATCACAAACACGAACCCTTCGGGCGAAGTTAGTGCCTTTATTATAGTTGACGTTACAATACTTATTACAGTTTTGAGAGCAGCCTGCTCTGATCAGAATACCAGAATATACACACCGTTTCCGTGCTCGTGATTCTCCGTGCTGATAGTTCCGCCGGTCCGACAGTTTTCGCAATAAAAGCACAATCTGTACAAATCTGTAGCGGTAAAATATTGTACAAATCAAACCAGTTTATGAATGACAAACCGCACAAAGTTGTGTATGGTAAAATTGTATTAGTCAATTTGTTTCAAATAGTCTTTTCAGATTATGCATTTCGTTACTGACACTACTACTACTTACAGCGCACAACATGTGACAATCAATAGGCTATTATCAAAACACACATTGATTAGTCCCAGAATTAGACATCGCCCCAGAACGTTTAGGTAAAATCATTACTGACTCTCAAAGCACAGCACTTAAACCTAAACATTGATCATTCAATAATTCGAATTTATGTTCACTCCTGCCACTGTGTTTAGTTTTAGTTTCATTATTAGATTGTCTTTAACTAAAATACAACTGTAATGCTCCAAATGAAAAACAGTTTTAGTAGCCCAAAAGATGTCCAGTGCTTGGCGTATATTGTAGTGACGCTTTCTGACGTTTTCTACAGCGCTGTAGAAAACGCAGCACTCTGCCAATATCCGAGTCTGTGGTTTTCACACTCCGTCCTCTACCACTGATCATCTGCGTTCCTCTGCAGTCATTGAAATGCGAGAAGGGCCAGATTAATGTTTACACTATTCTTACACTTATTTAAAACGTATATATACTGGAGTTCTGTTGACATTCAGCCATTTGCTGTTTACTTAATGATATATGACTGTCAGTGTCTTCCTGTCTTTCACCAGCCTCTTACGTCTGCCATTTGTGTTTTCTTCTCTGCATCATCAGGTTTTTGAAAAACATCGGACCATTTGGCTCCATTCACATGCTGCTGGGTTGGTTTAACACAGTGGTTTGAAAACTTTTTTTTCTGCCATATTTGCAAGAGGTTCTTGAGGCTGGGAGGAAATGAACAAAAGCTATTAGTGTTTTTACCTGCTACTGACCTTTCAATATAGGAACATTTAATACAACGTTGAAAGAGATCTGTATTGTTGTGCTGTCTGTGGATGTGTGTTGAGAGCAAAGAAGGAATGCATGCTCTTATATTCAGACCAATCCCCAAATCCCAATAAATGACAAACAGCCAGTTTTAGATTTGCATTAAAGCCACATCTTTTATACAGCGGTGAACCTCGTAAGATACATGATTTCAGCAAGACAATTCTCTATTGGCCACCTCGTGTGCTTATGTCATGATTTTATCTGCAAGTTGTTTTCTGGTTGGTCCCCACAAAGTGTAGGTGTTTATTTGTTCAAATCAAGGCTTCAGTCAATTCATATTCAACTTTGAAATTAAAATGAAAGACTCCTTATATTTACAAATAATTCATTATTCTTTAATCATGTATTAAATGCATTTATATGAAAAACAAATATTAAAAAATAAAACAGCAGAAGGCACAAAGAGGCTTCAATCATGTGTAAATACTGTACAATCCCAATTTGTCACTGACTTTTTAACCTGGATTATAGTCAACTAAGCAAGTATAAATTAATACATAAACACTATAGTATCAACATACTGTATAAATGTACAGAGATCCTGGAAGAGAGAGGATATTGTGTGTCATCATCTTTAAGTGCTATCCTGTTGTCCTAATCCTCTACGAGTAAGGTGTATGTCAGACATTTCTATGAAATCTTTGTTGGTATGGACGGGTGAAGAGTTGTTTTTTTTTTAGACCAAACTGGAACAGAAATATTCCAGTAGAGGTTCTGTACAGCTCAAAGGTCAAAGCAACTATAAATGAATATACAATGTTTTGTGAAGCACGGAGGATTCAAGTGCCCAACAAATGTCACAGTAGCCCCCACAGTATGTATCGACCACGGATCCCAGTCATTTTGATAACCAACGGTAGATTAAAAAAAACATTTATTTGACCCTTTCACAGAGATTGTAAGGCCACAGATAGCGCTGCTTCAAGACAACAGTTCTCCCATTTCAGTAAGAGGCTGATGTGAAGAGCAGTATTTGACACATAATAAGCTGTAGATAGCTGGTGTTAAAATTCATCACAGAGAGGACAAATTCCCAATATTTTCACTAACATGTTTAACAGGCTGTATACAAGTTAGAATGACGCGCTAACAAAAGGGAACACCACCGTGTGGTCTGTTAACTGCCTCCTGTATGAAGCTCCTAACGTCTCTGGAAGGTCCCATGCTCCTTTAGTTGGTTTGGTGTCGTAAAGATTGAGAATTGGGAAATGAGTGTTTAAAATCTGACATGCTTACACTATCTTACATTGAAACTAATTTTTTTTTTTTTAAATTTGGAAATTGTGCATAAATGACCGATTTGGGATAGTCCCGTCATGTGCATTGTCACTGTCCCTTTGTGTTCACGCTTGCTATTGTAGCTGTATACAGTTGACAGTCAGAAAGGAATGTGCTTTGGCTGCTTCAAAAAGCGTTGGTCACTTCTACGGTTTCTGAACTATAGTCATTAATCTTGGCTCTAGTTTAGCAATCCTGCTCCACATGCTTGCAGCACTCAGTCATCAAGTACAATAGTCCTGAAAATATTACTAATGTTGGATGCAAGGCTGAGGCACGACATAAAGCTACCACTGTATGAATATAACACAAAATGTCTTCTGGAAATCTCTTATCAAAACAAAATAATAATTTGGCAAAAACAATTAAAGCATATTTATATTTGGTAAGTTCTATAAATGTCAAATATCTGTGAGAAAACACAAATATGTACCGATAAAGTAACAAAATCTCTCAATACTGGACAGCATATGAAAAAACAGGAATTCCTTATAACAACAAAAATCTTCAATTCAGCGAAGAAAGCGTACAGAAAATGAAATGCAACAAGGAAAAACGATAACGGAGTCATTTTGACTTCAAATAAAAGGGGTTTACTTTTTTTTTTTTTTCCAAGGCCCTTGTTAATATTAATCCCATGTGTGGTACCTTTCCAAATAACAGCATTCAAAATGTGTTAATGCTATTCATGTTTCTTTGAAACTTCATCAATGTTGTTAAGCCGAACTGGGACAGTTCAGACTGTAGCTCTGCCAAATGGGACAATCGTATGTCCGTAACGCAGAACCAAGTCCCGCCACGTGTGGTTCAGCTTAGAGACCTAATGTGGGTCGACAGGCACAGTGTTTTCAATACTTTGATGTGGATTACTCTCCTAGACTAGAACAGTTGTGATCCATCTCGATACTCTAGAAAAGATTCCTCTCTTGAAATTTAGGATGTGTATTTAATGTCCAACTCCGTCCCCAGAATGGAATGATAGGAATGTATTTTTACGTATGACCTTTTCTTCACAAACACTGATCATAAAGCAAGATGTGAAACTGTAGCAGAGGAAGAAGGTAGGACATTATTATTTTTTTTCCCAAATGGTGGGAGCACTGAAGAAGAACAGAGGCGCTTGACTTTAAACTTCATCCAGAGGAACATCTCCAGTTGTTTATAAATCCATTCTTAGACGTGATTGGGAGGAGAAAGACTCCATTTAATGTCCCTGTTGGTGAGTTCAGGCGTAGAACTCTTTGGTTGGTGCTTTGTGATAGGCCGTTGAGGAAACTTTGGTGTCTCCCAGGTCGTAGCTACCTTCGTCCTTCTTCTTCATACGGTAGGTGAGGAGGAGGAGGAGGAAAACTGCACAGAGGAATCCAACCACTCCACATGCTATCACCGCTGGAGAGGGCATAAGGAAAGATTGAAATACATTTTCATAACAAGTGTCCCATACTTGCTGCAAATGTTTCACAATATTTGGCAAAATGTATTCATCAAAACTCTAAATCTTAAATGTTCTAAAAGAAAATAAGTTTGCAAATTTGGCAACTAAAAACGAATCACCTCATTAAACCAGACATGTGGGAACAATAAAGATGCAGTAGAGCCTAGTGCACATCTGTCCTCACCTGCCAGCACTTCTGTCCTCTCCCACATGTTCTCAGAGGTCACCTCCTCGGGAGCGTCCATCTCATATTTTCTGCCTCGGCCATTTTCGGGCAGAATTTCATTTTCGACCTGTTCGATCAGGACTTCATCTCCACGGTTTTTGGGTGTTGAGACATCCCACCTATCCAGACTGTTGTCCTTGTTGGTATGATTGATTGCAGTGACGTCCATGCCCGATGTGGTTGCAGTAGTTTCACTGGGATGCATGGTGGTGGAGCTGGGGCTGGTACTCTGTGTGAACCAATCATTAAATGTATTATGCACTGGATAACAAAGTATGGCTGGAAACAAACGTTCAGGCATAACGTGGTTTTGAATACTTCCTGGATAGCACCATATAGATCATGAAGAAATATATTCTTAAAGCTCTTAAAGTTGTATTATTATATGTCATAGAATAATAACTATTAAAAGCAGTCTCACTATAACAACTCTCACCATCAGTCAAAATGCAACTGTATGCATGTACTGATGTATTTTTGGGAGGGCTTTGGTTCATACAGATGTTGGAAATCAACAGTGCAATTGGATGTTATCCTGTTAACAATGTCCAAAGATATTTCTTGACAGTTACACCATTTGTAATATTTCTTTGAATCTCTTCGATAGCCAACAGTATATTAATCACGGTTTATCTTTGAGAGAAGGATTCCCGTAAAAGGAGAAGCAATATTTAACCTCATCACTGTCGACCCCGTTAGGTAATATGAATGCTGTCGTCTCTGCGTCCGTCCCTTTGGTTGATGTGTTCTGGCTGCCTGTTGCTGTGGTTGACGGGCTGAGAGGCGAGGCTGCTGAAGGCGGTGGTTGAGTTGGAACCATTTCTTTGGAGACTGTGGTCTGAGAGATGTTGAGAACCTTCCTGAGTATCTCCTCTGTATCTGTGAAGTTGCTGGAAGCTGAGACAGAAGAAACAATCACCACAAATCCTCACACTTCAGAGGGAGTATATTTTCAACCTCGCACCACGACTGATTTCGGTATAAAAACATTTGCATCGATTTTTTTTTTTTTTTCCATTTAAAAAGGACTATGGCTTAATTTATGGTTTGAGAAGATTTTCCTACTTCATAAAATAAATAAAAAACCCATTGGATTATTTGAAAAATGAATTGCCATAAAGCTGAAAACAAGGCAGTTATCCTCAAAGTTGACATTTTGTAGATATGTTAATAGCATAGTGACGCAATGTTAAAATGTGCCCTCGAGGTGTTAATCAACCAGTTCTTTCCACACGCAGAAGGAATGCAATCTGTGAGCTTTCTAACCTACTGGAATTTACCTAACCACATTTCAGTTTATTTTGTGATCACACTAAATGTTTCAAGACATTATTCACTGTTGTCATAAAGATGAGTCATCGATAATGAAGGCAGAGTGTGTCTGACATCTGTGCGCTTCCAATAAAACCTCACATCGCCTCAGGACAAACATCTGGCACTGTGAGCGAGTGCTTCTGTGTCTGAATATGCAAGCACTTGTGTCGAAAGTGCAAATGTTGCTCATTTGTCTAACATTTGTAAATGAGTGGATGGAGTATTAGATTAGGGGAACACACCACGAGATGAGGAAAACTTCTGTAAAACTAACTGCCTGAAAAGAAATTTAAAGACAGAAGTCTGTACCAAAAGCACTTTAAGACTAAGATCATCTCAGTCCCATTGTAAGTGTAGATGATTTTAGGAAACAGTGCCCTGGACTGTTGAAGTTATGATTTGAAAAAGGAAAAACAGAAAGTCCAGATGATTCATTTACACTTTGCCTTACGTTTACTAAATGAAGATGTATTTGAGAACCCTTCATTTAACTGTATACACTAAGAATGTTATGTTGCAAACCAAACGACCCTAAATCCTATCCTTACCATAGTATCCAGATCCAGAGCCGTCGTCATCATCCCCATCTTCATCATCCATTGGAAGGTCCCCTGACGTTTGGCCCTCTAGGTACATATCATCTGTTGTGGAGAAGGTCGTCTGCGAGGAGACAAAGAGCTGGAAGAGAGAAAAAGATTTACAGATTATGATTCCAGCAGGAGAGAGGAGACACAGAGACCTCCTTTTTTCACACTTCCACTAATCGAAAACATGTGAACCTCGCTACAGTTTTTGAGTAGGACAACATCTCCCACAGCCAATGACCTATGCTAGCCAAATATGCCACAGTGTTCACTGGCGTCTGTGAGTTTAACCATCGGGTTAAGTAGCATGTACAGTAGAGGGAGGCTGTTTCTATTTTTGCTCATTTCATGTGTGTGGCAGTCATTTTTGATGCTTCACAGGGACACACAGCAAAGATCTAAGCTGTCGTATCTCTCCCTCCTCCACTCAAAGGCAACGCAAAGAACATGAGAGAGACACACACACACACACACACACACACACACACACACACACACACACA